ACATACATACATACATACATACATACATACATACATACATACATACGTGCATACATATTTACACAGATATGCAAGCTGAGATTTTGCGCTTGCAGTGTACTTTGTTGTAATGCGCCTCACCTCACAAGCTGTTCCCGGCTTTTAAGCAAGAGCAGTTATGGTTGATTGTGATGGTTGGCGACTTTGGGTGACGGGCAGCTTGGCACTGTTGCGAAGAGGCAACAGATATCAGATATTTAACTCTTGTGCAGCGGTCGGATTTACTTCATGCCCTGGAAATCCAAAGCAAGAGCTCATGTCGACCCAGCTGCCACGATGATCGAGACCAGGCGTATCATTGGGACTGGGCATTATAAAGTGGATGGCACCACAGTGAAGCTGGACAAGAGGCGCTTGGGATCTGCACCTGGCCAGTCGATGAAATTTCACCTCGACGAACTCGGTCTAGTGGAGGGCGGACCTTTCACAAGTCCCTGTCGATTGAGACTGGCACAGTGCGACTGCTTGGAAGCAGCAGAGTTCTTGAGTGAAGGAGGTGGAAATGTTCCAATGGTCTTGGATTTTGCCAGTGGTTCAAACCCAGGAGGCGGTCTCAAAGGTCATCAACAGGGAACTCAGGAAGAGGAGATGTGCCGTCGGTCGAGTTTGTTGCCCTCGCTGGAGCACCATGAATATCCGTTGCCGGAGGGTGGAATTTATGCTCCACAGATTTGCGTTTTTCGTGGTCCAGCACAGCAAGGATATCCCTTACTGAAGACTCCTTTCTGGGTTACGGTCTTGGCATCCGAAATGCCCAACTGTGGTGACATGGGGAACAAGGAGAAGGCCTTGGCGCGACGAAAGATTCAAGGAGTCTTGCAAATGGCTCTACGACATGGGCATTCCTCGCTAGTGCTGGGTGCTTGGGGATGTGGTGCTTTTGGCAATGACCCTGTGGTGATGGCAACGCTCTTCAAGGCGTGAGCGACTACCGCAGGTGGATCCCTGAGGCCCACAAAAGGTTTGGCTGAGGCTCCTGAGCTGTTTCAAGAAGCAAAGAAGGAGGTCGCAAACAAGTCCGATGGATCTTGGGATGTATGGGTGCCTGATCTTGGTGCCACAAACTCTTTCAGGGCGTTTCACCAAGCTCTCCACGGATTTGTTTCAAACTTCTCCACGCGATTCTGGGCGCTCGGAAATAGACCTACCCAGCCAGGGGCAAGAAAGGCCTATTCAAATACCCAAACGAGTGGATGGAACGATGGATGTTTCTCTCCCTCCCTCTCTCTCTCTCTCTCGCTCTTTGTTGACTTGAGATCGAATGGAGGAGGAGCTGTCGAAGGTGAGCGGCTTGGAGGTGGTCTTTGCCATCTTGGGGCGCAATGCTGAGGTCTTCAGCCAGGCCAGTGGTCCTGGTTTCCAGTGTGCTAGACCTCTGGGGCCGTGAGGAGTCAGTTTGGGTTTTGGAACAAACTGTGGGATTAACTTTGTAAACAGCAGAGCCTTGCACAAAAGGACCGGTGAAACTTCCATTGTGGGGTGTTTCAGCGGGAAACTGGCACCAGATTTTCCACAGGGGCAGGGGTGGCTACAAACTTCACATGTAGCCATATAACAACAGCATCTACATAGTGCAGGATATTAATCTATCCTCTTTTGGCACCTGGAAGCTGCAGGGAAGAAAACTGAGCGCGAGTGTCTTTCTGTGGCATTTTTCCCTCTTCCACGTGATGCCAGTGTCTTAACATGAACGGTATGGCGGTATAGGTCCCTCGAGGCTATACTCCCTGGAATGATCATGGATGTGGACAGTGGCCCTTTGGATAACCATTTTCTTTTACCAACAGGGGGTTTTCCACTTCCATGATAATTGCTCCAGTGAGTGCATCTGTTGGCCGCGCCTCACAGTGGAGCCTCTCCAGCGCTTCGGTCGAAGGTCCTGGAGCTGGATCCACTGCCGGATCTGCTGGCACCTGCTGGAGCAGCTGGAGCTGGCGCCAGCTTTGGCAGTGCAGTGGGCGACCTGAGCGCGCAAAAAAGGGATGGGGAGCTGGAAGGGTCAGTTGTGTGCGATGCTTGTTTGTCTTGGGATGTGTTCAGAACAGTCACCACTCATTCGTTTGAAGACCCTGAGACAAAAGAAGTGAGGATTGTTGCGGCTTTGGTCAGAACTTCCCGATGGTGTGCCGTAAATCCTGGCTTTGCAGCTTTGCATGCGGTGTATACTGTACACATAATATATGCCCAACGAGCCATGTAGTACACAAGCATTTCACCAACCTTCTAGGAAAGCTCACCCAAGACAAGTATCAATTCAGCTGCGGGAGGCACATCTTCTTTTGCTGTGGGAGGCACATTCCCTCACCACCCTGCGCCAGCGACAACTTCAGCTCTGTTGTGATCCGATGACGCCATGGAGGCTGAGACCAGTGCCTCCAGACTTGAGCGCTTACAGCGCCACCGTGAAGCTCGAAACCTCTTGGTGCAGAGCACCCAGAGTCGCCGCCCACAGTCCGCGCATGCCCCGTCCGCCTTCGCCGCGGCCGCTGCCGGCAGCCGCCCCCGGTCCGCGGCCGAAGTGCACTTCCGGGCGACGCCCAAGCCGCTCAAAGCGCAGGACCTAGCAGGTGCAGATGGGGAGGTGGGTGGTGATAGTCCAAGCTGGTTTCTGTTGAGTCACGACTTGGGGAGGGGACAATGTGGACATGGTCCTCCAGCACAGGAGAAAGCCTCGTGTTTCTCGTGTGAGATGAAAGAACTGCTCGAATTGCCTCGGTGCCGTGCCAGGAAGCACCTCGGTGCCCCGGAAGAGGCCCATGTCGGCCTTTCCGGGTCGCGCGAGTGCCTCGCCGGTGGGCCGTCGCCCGGCGACAGCCTCGACGCGAGGGCGCTTTGCCAGCGAGAAGGTGCGATGGAGCAGCAAGCTCCAAGAGTGTGAGCACAAGCCAGGGAGTGTTCATGCTGATGTTCCAAGTGAACTCAGGTGTTGGTGTGTTTTTTTTGACGTTTTGGGAAAACATGTTGTTTTTAGGGATGTTTTGGATGAAGGCCTTGGCACCTTGGTGCACCTACTTTGAGAAGCATGCACCTACTTTGGTCGTGTTCTCTGGTGGTTTCCTCATGCAGCATGCACCTACTTTCTTCTCAAGATCTGATCAGAGCAGGTGGAGAAGAAGATGGAGCGCTTTGTTCGCATTCGAGTGAGGCTGTGAACACCCTCCTGTGACGTTTCTCCCAGTGGCTGGGTTGGCCGACTGTTCCTCCATGGAAGACGGTCACTAGGTTCCCTCCTTCTCCAGTTAAGAAGTTTAAGGAAGCCAAGTTTGGAGTTTAAGACTGAGCCAGAACATCTTCGGTCTACTCCGACCTGTCGCCAAGGTTCCCCAGTCCAGGCCAGGGCTTGGCTCAAGCGGGAGGAAGGGCTGCTGTTTGGTCTCCAAACACGGACTTGGCCATTTGGAAGGATTTTAAGAGCTTCAAGAATCTAGCTTTCAGCTATTTTCAGTTGCTGTGGTCCAGAGTCTTTGAGGCCTCCACAATGCAGGGCCGATTCTACCGGAGCTTCTAAAGACCCCAGACCCTTGGCGAGGTGTTCGATGTGTGCCGGGTCTTGCCGCTTCGGGTTCAGCCAGGCCGAGTGGGCAAAACACCAGAGAGTGACGGTCTGAGTCTTAGCATGCGAGCCGGGGACACGACCGCTTTCAGAGGTTATGGACTTCAGCATCTCACCGAAGTCCGTTTTTGGCTTTCATAGTGGATGTACACGTCTACTACTACATCCACAACCTGGGCACCGCGAAGAAACATGTGGCAACACCAGCTTCTTGAGTTCTTGACCTTCTTCAGTTCGTTGCCTGACATCGCTCATCAGCTCATTGGAGGCGCTGCCGCCAGAGACGACTTGCCGAGCCAGGGCCCGTGAGCCACGGCACGTTTCTTCCGGGAAGAGGATGGGGAAAGACATGTGCGCCTTTATTTTTTCCACCAGGTGTTTGGTCCCTTCATGGCCCTGCGTGAAGTATTAATGAAAGGGATGATCTTGAAGGGATCAAACTCATTCAACAGCCCAGGCTTCTACTCTGAAAATGGGTGCTAATGAAGGGTCGGTCTGGACCCTCAAAAGGATAGACCGGTCCAACCTCAGACGTTCGCATCTGGGCGCTTCTTCGTTCGGAAGCTCACTGACCCGGTCGCGCCAGGCACCTTCTGGCCTTTGCCAGTCGCCTTGGCTCCTTGGCAGCATGTGTCCCCTTGGCGGTTCCTCCGGTTCCTCGGTTCAGGTGAAGGGTATTTTGCGAGAGAACTTGTGGATGATGTTTTTTTTCATTCTTCTTGGCAACTTGACTTTGACTGTTTTTGTCTGGCACTCCAACATCCCCCAACAGTTCCCTAACACCCCTTAGAACAAGAAACATCATCTGATGCCCCATTCCTGGTGCTGCATCCTTTGGGCAGTAGAGGAGACGGCCACTATATAAAGCTGGGGCGTCCTGAGCTCGAACTCGAGGTCCCGCCCCTCCACTTCCGCCTTTGCCACCAAAGCTGGAAGCGGGGACACCGAGAGAAGCGAGTCCTTGGTTTGGAGCACTGAAGGATGAAGTGAGCACTAAAGGACCAGGGGAGCCAGACGCGGGGAACGTGGGAAGAACGGCAGGACCTGCTGCACGAGTTCTTCCGACCAGGTGAATGCACTTCCAACCGTTGATTCGGTGTTTGTGTGTTTGTCTCGGTCATCACAGAAGCCACTGAAAGCCACTCTTTCAGTGTTCGAGTTAAAGAGTGGTGACATTGTGTCTTTTCAAGAACGAGAACGGATCGGATAGACCTCAATCCAATCTGCAAACTCTTCGCTCGCAGGGTCAATTCATTGTTTGCTGTTGTACCCTCATGGGCACGTCGCATATCAGTCTCACGTCAGCATGTTGTTTTTGTGTAATTCGTTGAGGGGTTTTCCCTTCCAACACTTCTGTTGACCCGGATTCCTGTGACACAAGTCCAGGGGTTCACCATCGGAACAGCGCTATCTTTGAGTTTGCAATTTTTAGGATTGTCGTTTCTTGATGACAACTCTCTTCGACAGGACTCGTGATTTGTTTGGTAAACTGAAGTAGAAATTGCATGGAAGGTCTGCATGTGAAGCCCTCGTTTGGGCCAGGCTGGAAGCTCCAGAGGAGGCTGGTTCATGGAGTGAGTGGGTATCTGGGGGCCGTTTTTGAATCAGGATCCCAACACAACCTGGTGATAGGAAAAACAGATGATTCGTGGACCATGGTGGCAAGGTCGATCAAAGTCTGTTCAAAGCTGGGTGGGGCGTTCCTTGCTTGGGGACATGTCCAGTGTCGGTTTCTCAAGTTTCGTCAAAGCTGGAGGTCCTCTCGGACATGTCCTCAGGGATCTCAGATCTGAACTTTAGATCTTCAGATCTCACAGATCTCAGGGCTTCGAACAAAACGGTGGGTCTTTTTGTTTTATATAGTGCTTTTCTTTTTTTTTGTTCGATTTGGGATGCAACCCAGCTGCGGAACGTGTGAGTCAGGCCCTGATTTGCAATGGGCTTGTCTTGTCTCTTGTATTGTCTTCTATTCAAATGCTCGCAGAGGTTCCATTCACTTCATATACTCCCTTTGATTGCATGTTAAGCCCTGCCCAGCAGCCGATAAGAACTGCATAGGCCATCGCGGTGGGCAACTGGCCACAGCCACATGATGCGTTGCGCGTTAGTTTCGGAATGCTGTGCGTGACACCAACAGGTTCTGAGGCTGAGGAAGAGTTGGATGACTTCACTCCAGAGGAGAGCAAAGAAACTGAAACAGCTGTAAAAACTTGAAAAGAGGTCTCTGACCTTTGGACAGTGGAAGGTTTCATCACCGTTTCATCTCTTCAATCTTTTTCCGCTCTATCCAAGAAGCTATTAGGAGCAAAGGGCATCGCTACGAACGGAGCAAGAACGCTACGATCGGGGCTCCTGGCCTTACTACTAGGAGCAAGGACGCTACTAGTATCAAGAAGCTAACTAGAGGCACCTCCCACTGGGCCCAGGAGCGGCGCCTGGAGCAAGAGTCTGAAGAGGCGGCGTGGACGGTGGGCGTTTGATTGGGGCCGATGTGGACGGTGGTGGCTTGAGACGTTTTATTGTTCTTGGACGCATGTTTTTCTAATTCTTTTCATGCCCCGTGTTTTTTGTTTTTGCTCTATATAGTGGGGTCCCACTTGTTGCAAGGCAAAACCAATCGAGTGCCACCTGTCGACGTTTTCGACTGCGGCTCCTTTTTTCGTTTGGAGCGGTTGGGACGGACGTGTGGGACTCGACATCGACCGCCGAGGCTCTGAAGCAGTTGGAGGCCTTGAACGCCGCAGTGCATGGCCTCAGTGCTTCGCACCTTTTTTCGGCTCGGGCGGTCCACTCACGTGGGGGGTTGGTGCACAAAAGAAGACGAGCAATTGGCAGGTGCCCATGGGGTGGAGAGATGTTAGAGTGAATACGCAATAAAATAGATGGGTTACAGAAGTGAATCCCCTTTCGATGATATATTGGGATATATTGGAAACCGTTTCTATCTATTTGCGCGCTGCTACAATTCTTGCATGATTGAAAAGAACGGATGATTGTGCACTTTCAAAAATGACGTATGCAGGCTTCTGTGGACCTGGGTTTTGCAAAAGTGTGAGAAGTCTTCCTCCACGGTTATTCTGTCTCCAATGATTAGGATGCTTGACATTTTGGCATCCCCCAGTCCGCCAACTACATGAAAGGCAGGTATGCTGTATTCGATATAGCTTGATCTCGAGCTACTTGGATTTATTGGTGACGAGGCACCCGAAACATTCCGGTGAGTGAAAGAAAGGCAACAAGACCTCATTCCGGTGAGTGCATTGCTGTGCATGATGTTGTGCTGCCCCCCAAAGCACTCTGTTTCACTTTGTTGTGTGACCGAGGGTTCGGGGATGGAGGAACTCGATTCTCGAGTTGTTCTGATTTTCTGATGCGAGGTGGAAGCCCTGCGAATGAAGCTTGAAGTTGCCAAAGACGACGCGGAGCAGGGCCACCCTGGTTTTGCGCGGGGGTGGTTCGGCGGTTTTCAGCGGGTCCAAACCCCCAGAAGCAGATTAGGACGAAATGGCTGTACAGAAAGATGCCATATATCATGGTATCCCAGCAAACACTTGACAATCTTTTGACATTTTCATATCCTATTCCATATTGGTACTTCCTTCACTCCGGGATAGTTGAGATCAAGTATGTGATTCTACACAAGAGTGCTTTTGACGTGTAGTTGTGGACTGTTAAGTTATAGAGGTAAATCAATGTCCACTGCAAGTGCACGAAGCACTTCTAAACGATAGAAGAAGGTTACACATCACCATTTGTTGCCATATATATATGTACGAATGGCTGTATAGGGCAGCCTGCGATATTCAGAGTAGAGTAACTAGTAACTAGACTACCACTTTTGTTCTGGCCCTGCATGTGGTTGGGTAGACTTGGGGCCCTGTAATTTTAAATGCTGATGTTTGCACGTTTTCACATGTTTGCACGTTTTCACAAATGGTTGCAGATCACCTTAGTCTGTTTTGAAAGAATTCTTAGATGTCAACAGATTCGCACTTGATTCTAAATCATAAAGCAGTAGAACTTGTAGAACTCTGTTGTAGATCAAAGGTTGCCAAGGATGTGGACTTTGAAAAGCGGTTGGCAAGTCTTTGGAACATCTTTTTTCATGTAGTGTAGAGGACTCATCCCACATACTCACACACAAACACACATTTTGTAGATGTTGTTGCAGACTGCCCACAATAGATGATCCGGTAGATTTGCGCAGTTACCTTCCCCCATACAGGCATAAAACAAAGCACAGATTCTTGGGGGCTTTGCAATATGAGAAGTCGTATGCGCATTCTTGACCTCTTGGAAGTCGTGTGAAAAGGACCCACAAAAAGACGCAGTCTGGGTCAAGGTCCGTGAAACCTCGGATCAAAACATCCAGCTCGGTCCAGCTGAGACCGAGCTGGAAGGACCGCGGACCGTGTCCGCTCGAGCCGCTCGGTCCTTCGGCAGGTGTTCGGCGGCCCAGCTGCTGCAGCTGAACTCGGCTGCCGACAGCTGGGCTAAGGCACGGCACTCGATCGACTGAAAGAGGGCTTTCTCCGGGGCGGACTTGGGAGACCTGGCGGTGTGGGTTCGACTTTTTGGAGCATTTTTGGTGGTCTTGAGCCAGGGTTCAAATTCAGACCATGGTTTGAGACGATGTCTTTTTCAAGACCAGTTTCTTCGGGACTCTGGACTGAAGTGCATCGAAGCGATGCCCCGTTAGGCGGCGGAGGAGAGCCGACAGGAGCTGAAAGACCGGGAGCTCCGCTTGCAGGAGAGATCTGCGAGAAAGATCTGCATGTGATGGGAGTTTTGGGGGGTATGTCTTTTTGGCTAGGTCTGGTTATACCTTTCCTTACCATGTCTAGTTTCTCACTTTCAAGGATCCGTTACCCCACAAGTGGAAGGTCCGTGAGGCGCGGGATGGACGCTCGCCAGTGTTTTGCCTTCATACCTCAGAGCCTGAAAGGCCAAAGATATCAGTGAACATCGGGCGGCCAAGCTGTGAACACTGATTCCTCACAATCCTCGTCACGCAAAGGAAATGCTTCCTTTTCTGCACTGGATCATTTTTTCTTCAGGGATTGAATCAGGAAAAGTCTCGCCGTGCTGCTGTTTCGGGTTTGGTGGGTAGCAGAGCTCACCCAAGAACGTGACCCAAGGTTTTGGGAAAGAACAAGGCTGTGTGGATGGTGGCAAAGCCGAAAGGGTCAAACAGACTGGAATGGTATTCACCTCATATGCATCAGCCGATCAGCAAGTCGATTGCCTTTCAAGGAGTTGCTGGCCGTTCTGCCAGTGGGGTGCTCAACCAAAAGCTTGCTTGCGAGATGTATTGGAAGAGGACATGAAGATGTGCAAACGTGCTTGAACATCAGCGGAGAGAGCTTGATTTGTAGAGAGATCCTCCAATCTGATGGGCCAATTGCTGAAAATGACGGCATCATCTCCTTCACACCTATCTCAAGGCTGAAGATCCTCCGGTTGAGACCGAGGACTGACGGGGTGGGCCGGGGGGTGGGTTTGCACTGTCGGAGGATCAATCGGGCTTTATCACAAAAAGAAAAAGTCAGGCCCCGGAAGCTTGAAAAGAAGCTCCCCATGTCAACGACAATCTGTGGCTAAACAAAGGTCTTGCCTTGGGGGGTGCCATCAGTGTCATGTCGAGCACTGCCAATGCTTCGCTGAGAACCTGCTGACATCCCTTCCTGAAAACCCAGGAGTCAGACAAGCACCTACCGGGTGAAAGGCCGGAGCTTGCCGGAGAGGTTGCAGTCAGCATCCTGCAGAGGTTGCAGTCAGCGACTGACGATCCGGAGTTGAGGTTTCAGTGGGCCTAGCTGCGGAGACACCCAGTGGTGGGCACAGACTGACCTTTCGTCTTTCGTCCCTGCACATCTGCAGGCCGCCGCGGGTCCTGCAGCAGCAGACGGATCGGCTGCAAGAGCAGGCGGGGTTGGAATTGATGGATGAGCCAGCTACCTTTCTGGGGTTCAGTTGGGGTTCATGTTCCATGTTTCAGCCACCTGTAAGCCCGAATGCAAACTACCATAAATTACTGTACCAGAAGTTCCTTGAGACGTTTTTCCGGCGCCGGCGCTCGTTTGGAGAGTTCACGACCAATTTCGCGACGGGTCTTGCTTGGAATAGACCGAGGTGGAAGCGCAGCAGTCTTTGTTGCTGCAACGCTTGGAGGAGCGCAGAGCTTTGGAAGCTCAGGTGGAGGCCCCTTTGCCGATCCTTTCGGCCGATGGTTTCGGGCCACCGGACGGAAAAGAGACTGGTCAGGGCGGAAAAAGGGCACCAGGAGATGGCCAGTTGACCAGGCAATGGGCAGAAGAGACGGGGAATTTGGGTTCCAGGATTTGACCCACACCCAGATGACAGAGAAGCTTCAAAATGCTGGTCCCAGATGCCAGAGGTGCTCCGAACCGCCGAACCGCTCGGCAGGTCCTCTGCAAGGAGAGAGATGAGCAGAAGGCCGTGCAGCAAAAGGCCTGGTGACCTGGAGTTTGTGCTTGGTCCTTCAGCAACTGCACGGTCCACACCTCTCAAAGAGTTGGGACGACGCGCCGACTCACCTGTTGAAGACCTTTTCTTCGCGGGGTCTTTCAATGTCTTTCACTCAGCTCAAGGAAAGGGGCAAACTGACATGGCTTCTTTGGGGAAGCAGGAATCGCCTTCCACGAATCGCCTCAACTCCCCGCGAATCGCCGCTTCAGCGCAGCGAATCGCCACGTGCACCGAACGTGAGCCGCACTGTGGAGGCCAGAGCTGCCTGTCGTGCTGCAGAGAGCCAAATGAAAGTCAAAGAGGAGGCGAAAGAACGGGAGCACATGGGACAAGCACGGGATATAAGGAGTACAGCTACTAGGAACAAGTGCATCGCTACTAGTAACAAGTGCCTTACTACTAGTAACAAGAAGCTATTATTTTAAATTTTACTAAATTCCATTTTAATTCTGAGCGTCCCTCAAACGGACAAAAGCTTCTTTTCTTGAGCCAAATTGGTTGGTTGGTTGTGCATGAGTTTCATGCTGTACCTAAGACTTGAGTATAAGGACTTTCTCATCCTCACTCCCCCTGATGGCGGTGCCATCATCACAAAGGTATGCTCCAGCAACAGGTTTTTTCATCCGAAGCTGGGCAACATCTCAAAACTTCCGTCAGACTCAAGATCCTCTGGATCCTTAGGCGATGGCTGTAGTTTGGGTGGAGGCTGCACCTTAGTTTGGATGCTCAGCCAAATTGGCAGTTGATCCGCTTCAGGCGGTAGCCGTTCTCCGATCGGCAGCTGATCTGCCTCCGGAGGTTGCTGTTGTGTTCCGACCAGCAACCCCTGCTCACTCCGCTCATCACGGCCACTAGTTGCCTGAACCTCCCCCCTTCGCTCACACCCAAGCACTCGAAGATCGTAGCCCGACATCTGGCCACTCTCGATGAACTCACTGCCTCGTGCACTGAGCCCCCCACCATCATAGGTAGCCACCTGCTTCAGGCTCCGGTGATCACCCTGCTGCAAGGCCTTTTGACCTCTCTGCTTCGCTCTAGTTTCTCCTGAATTGGAACCTCCATAGCCCTGTACCGAGGACCCAGACCCAGGAAGAGGAACTGAACCCTGCGAGAGATCACGCTGATCTTGACTTCCCACCTTTTCGTGCGGTGATGGCTCAAACTTCACATAGAAGAAGGTATAGCCGCACCACTTGTGATGTTCTGCAACATCACAGCCACGATTTTGAATCCAGTCATCGGTGCAACCGTTCTGCGCCACACTTCTCGAGAATTCCCCCGAGAGAAGGCCACTGTGACTCTGGTAGGTGACATTCTCGAAATATTCATTGGAGTCCCCCGATGAAGTGGATGAAAGGTTCGGACCCTGGATTTCTTCAAAACCCTGACCCACCACTCTCCACCTCCGAGACCCACACCCAGGCACTCCCAACGATCCGCTCCTGTAGGTGGAGTGCTGAACCGCATCAACTCCCATGGCGAGCCCGTCCCAAGACCCCGACGCACCACTGGAGACCTCATAGCACTCAGCTTCGGCGGCCCAGGCAGCCATGGCTGACGCCCGCATACGCGACCGTGGGAGCCCACTGGGCTAAGATCTACTTCCCAGTTGGAGACAGGTTCATTTTCCCTTGTCCCTTCTTGAACTTTTCTTGTTTCGACACTGCTCACTTCGGATGCCTTCGTCCGAGCAGATGCCGTTTCCCCCACTCTTGACAGGTCTTCTCCTCCCTTCCCAGCCATTAAACAGGCTAAGCTAGAAACTACCGCTGCAAGAGTCACACATTTGGCAACCTTGGCATGCCCTTGAGTTGGCTGCCAACATGAAAGCCCTACAAGCCCGGTCACTAAGCCAATCATCTTCTTCACATATAAGAATCATTCTCCTGCTCGATCTTGGACACCGTGCCAAGGCGCAATCCCGTGAACTCTCGAAATCGCTGCCATGAGTTTGGACTCACTATCGACTTGGTCAAGAGGTCCACGGAGAGCGAAGCGCCAGGCTCATGCTTCGCCTGCCAGCAACCAGTTTGAATGCGCTCCCGCAGAACAAAGCTTCTGAGCCTCAAGCGCCGAGTTCGCCATGGTCCATCCGGCGACTGGAGTATCCGAATTCCAGATTGAGAGTCGCCATGGAGAACGCAGTCCATCGGCTCATTGGCATCACCACTTTCCAAAATCGCAACGATGGAGGCACAAGACTCTCCCATAGTAAGGGCATCCGAATACCCCATGAGCTCTGATTCCGAGCTAGACAGCGTTCCAAAGGGCTGTTGCTTGCTTTCCCATTGAATTGGTGCGTCCGCATACATGGCCATCAGGCCTTGGTGACCACGAGATCCTGGAGGACCAAACGATGCATCAGAGTACATGTGGATGCCCCGATTCTCCACTTTCTCAGCATCGGCAGCCACAGCTCCATAAAATAGACCCAAACCCATGGTACCCTGCAAAAATCCCAAGACCTGCATTCCATATTGTTGGACTCTTCGTGGGCGCGGGTCACATGCCGCCCCAACCATGACACTGCAAATGAGATGTCCAGCCTCGACCGCACCGCAAGCCACAATAGCTCTCCCACCAATGTTTGAGCCTTGCGAACTTCCGCGATCTCTGGGCTCGACTCATCAGCCTCGTCCAGCGTTCCCGGCAAAGGACTGTGCGCCAGTTTGATACCTGGCCAGAAGATCTCTGAGATAGGACTCTTGATGCAAACGAAGACCACCCACCTCCTTAGCGATCTCAAAGCCACAGAACCTCAAGCTCTTGTCTGGCTTCAACCACTCCGGCGCTGAACACTTCCACTGCTCCTGGAACCTGGAGACTGCTGAGCGCGTCACTGCTTCACTCCCAGTCTGCAACAAAGCCATAGACCTTGTCCGGGAGGGCTGAGGTCTTTGGATCGTCCAGATGATCTTCTACAAATTGGGTTCCTGAGTCCGAGCCAAACGCCACCCTTCTCCATCTCCAGACACCGGAATTTGGCCATTTCCTCATCTCTGTTTGAGAGGTGCCCCTGAAGGCCGTAGAGCGAGTTCTTCACCTCCCAGATCTCGTCTGATGGACACACTCCTGCCTCCACCAGCACCCTCGGCGGGCGTGTGATGAGTAGTCTTTGATGTGCATCCCGCCTGGGTGCCAACAAGAACGCTGTTTTGACATCAAGACTTGCCACGTCCCAGCTCTCCAAGGCACTCTTTCGAAGAAGAGCTCGGAGAACAGTAGCATCTGCACCTCCCGCATAGAGCTCAAAAGGCGAATTGGATGCGGTAGCTTCAAGAGGACTGACCGCCTTGGTCTCTGCTTGCGCTCGCGTCAGATGGTTTCCACAGATGACTACCCTGGCTCGATGTCTAGCATGAGGACTCTTGACCGTAGGCACTAACATTGCAGGCGTTTCTTCCCGGTTGGGGTACCTTGGATCTTTCTTCAAAGCTTCCTCCGTGGTTGGAAAGATTGCTCCCGTGGTAATGGACAGCGAGCCATACTCATCCTTGAACGGCTCCACCCACTTGTGCAATTCCTTGCGCACCTGTGTCAGAGATACCGTATATGCTTGAAGAACCAGAGGCGGCTTTTGACCTTCCAACTCTTCTGAGCTCTCTGCAGTCTGCAATGCCGCCAATCTCCAGCCCTCCAACACCTCATTTTGACGCTCCAAGCACTCCTCCTGAACCAAAAGCTGTTCCTCGAACACTTGCAGCCAACGTCCATGCTCACTGCCTTGCTGCGGTCCCAACGGCGCCTGATTCAATTGATCCAGCCACATCTTCTTCAACTGCCAGTGACTGCGGGCTTCTTCTTCATGCCACTGAACTGCTTGCGACCACGAACAAGATTCCAGCTCCAAAAGCTCCTCCCCCGGAACCCCAGCCTCCTCTCGCCCCTTGTGGTCCTCCCAGCCACAAAATCGACGTCCAGCCTCTCGAACATCCGCTGGTTGCCAAAGATCACAGTCCGGGCACTTCACCATCTCCTCAGCCAGATCTCCATTGCCATCCCAGCCTTCAAGTTGAAGAGGTTGAAGACACGCACCCGCATCAGTCCCCCCCTGTCTTGAAGTGTGTCAACGCAGACAGGGATGGTCTCTCAGCACGCTCTTCACTGGCATACAACGGTGCAATGGCATCTTGCAGTGGATGTGGGTCAATGCCTTGCTTTCCCGTCCTCCTTCTGCTCACCATGCCTGCGTCAATTTCATGTAGCTCGAGTGCCGCTTGATCTGCTTCTGGAACTGGTTGTAGCGCCGTTCGAACATGCTGTACTCGATCTTGATGCCGAACCACCCACCCATTAGACATCAACGGGCTAGGTCCAATCAGCTGCATGGAGACAAATGGGTTGACCAGTTGTCCTGCTTTGTGCCACCTTTTTGTACGAACCGCTACCCTCGCTCCAAATCGAAGCATTGGTTGTACTGGTATTCCCAACCGGCTCAGCTGTCGCCTACACCGCTCCTCAGCCGCGTGGCGGATCGCTCCCTGCCATAGCTCTGGTTCAGCTTGAGCTTGATGGAGGATCAGTCTCATGCGACGCTTCACTTGTTGAGCTCGACCGTTGCTCTGTGGATCATCTCCTTGAGTGAAGGTCTGGACTATGTGACGATGGCCACACCACGCTGCCACCCTCTTCATCAGCATGCCCTTCTCACGATCGCTGTGGAGTCTCATCACATTGACCCCAAGGCACCTGAATCGCGCATACAGTCGAGAAAGTCCATTCAGCAAGGACTCCACTCCTCTATCCTCCATGACTTCCACCATCGTAATGTTCTGCAGACGGTGAGGCCGCCGGAGCTCATCGATCTCTTCACGACCAATTTCCGGCCCGTCACCCCTATCACCTTGCCGTTGGTCATCGGGATCTTGTGCCTCTCGACCCTCTTCCACCCCATCTTCGTCCACTTGATCTTCATGGTCCAGGGATGGTACATCAATTAACTGCTCTTCAGTGAGATCCTCCTCCTCTTGTGCACCAGGAAGATGATCTGGTACTGGAAGTGGGACGGTCCCCAACAATGCATACTTGGCCATCCTTCCAGTTGCGAGGTCTTTTCCAACCGGGAATGGTCCAATGATGTCCACTGCCAACGTGAATGCAGATGAAGCTGTCTTGGTTCTACGGTGGGGATTTTGTGATCCCATAGCTTCCAAACAGGTCCGACAGTCCCGCCTAAATGGCGTATGCTGCATTCGAACATGTTGGCGCCATTGATCCAGGTCTAGCTTCGCCACCTTGGAATTCTCTTCTTCAGTCAACAGCGCTCCCAGCGCCACCTGGATCGCCTTGACAAAGCCCGGTGACCATTCCGACCAGCTGCGAGAGGCCGCCATTCGTTGGTTTAGGTCTCCTCCCGCTCCCACCGGCCCAATGCCACCACCACCTTGACACTGCTCCAACTGCTCCAACATAGGCAAATTGGACAGTACTCCTGTTGGCTTGCGCCTTGGATGACCAGTTGATCCCTGGTCGAAGTTGAACATTTTCATCGTTTCATCCTCCAACAGCTGCTGCAGTTGCGGCCGTTCGAAATACGATGGATTCTCCTGACCCCAAATACGAGGCTGGATCCCGAGGCGAATGCAGGAAGAAGCCAGTAGTAGTTCCCGGCGGCTGATTCTGCCTTGACATCTTCCAAAGTGCCAGCTGCTTGAGAACCAGAGTAGTGTCATTGGCCACCAACTGCGCCTCGTTAGGAGACAGATACCCCAAATCTCCATGCTCTCTCACCTTGCGAGGACCAATGATCGCTTTGATGCGGCCCTGTCTTGCCAATGAACATAGATACCCCCACACCTGTGGCGAGTGAAGATCAAACCTCGACCCAATCAATGGGTCCACAAACAACCATGTGAATCCAGCCGTTTCGAAACACTTCATTCACAGTTCCCCCGGATGGTTCCAACCTACTTCCTTCCTTTTGCAGCCCGGGAGGACCTTCGACGCCGCGTGGTTGATGCCCTCGCCCTTCACGTTGAGACACAAGGCCATCACCTGTGACCCTATCCCCAACACCCATCGGTCCCCTAGGTTCTCGACTCGAATGACGACGATTCACCGCCACCAGTGACCCGCTTGATCTCCTTCGCAAAAAGATCTTCTGCTTCCTTGAGTACTTTCTCACGGATGGCTTCCACCTCATGATAGGTTGGAGACCTTCGAACCTCAGCCGCAGGCGCCGCATCGAACTCAGATCAGCAGCTTGCGATCGAGCCTGTGCACTCCAAAACGGGTTGACGTTGGTCCCCATCGGAGGTGGCGTCGCCATGGAGTAAGGATCCAGCACCCTATAGAGGCCCCAATTCCACACCAGGCCCATAGCTCATCGGCCGCCCTTGAGGAGGAACAGGACATTGAGGGGATCCCGCCATGCTCCCATGCCCACCACGAACTTCAGAAACATTACCGGCAAGGTGTCCCAAATCATGGTGATGAAGGAGTGGTGCAAGTAGACCCTGCCCTTGGGGGTTTCCACCAAATGCCCTCGATATGAGCACCTGGCCCGCACCGGAACCACGACCTCGGTCACGATCCCCAGTTTCCCGACTGGATTCCCGTGGCAAGGCCCTCATCGCTGCTGAATCTTCCTGAGCAGGAGCCGCCGCCGCCAAGCGCCGCACAGCCGCCGCCCTCACAGGCACTGATGCTGCCCTTCCGTCTTTCTCTTCTTCCAAAAGCGCATCCAGTCGCTCATCCGCAGCGCCAACCCGCAGAGCTCCCGGCCTATCCGCCGGATCCACCATGCGCCCACGCGAGGTGCGCCGCCGCCGTGACTGAAAGTCACCCATGGGAGCCAACAACCTCTAACAGAGGGTGGTCTTTAAACCTGAGCGTCCCTCAAACGGACAAAAGCTTCTTTTCTTGAGCCAAATTGGTTGGTTGGTTGTGCATGAGTTTCATGCTGTACCTAAGACTTGAGTATAAGGACTTTCTCATCCTCAAATTCTAATAGCTTTTTGTTTCTACTAGTAAGGCACTTGTTACTACTAGCGTGGCACTTGTTACTACTAGTACCAAGAAGCTAGTAGAAACAATATATAAATGGATGCGTTCGGCTTCGATCGATGGGAGCCGCTGGCCCACACGGTGCACCGCCCTCGACCTCGGCGTTGCGACATCGGAAACGAACAGCAGCGTTTGGACCCAGGCCTCGAATGGAACGAGAGAGTTTCATAGCAAAAACGCAGGCAAACGGGGTGTTCCCTGTGTCCTGTGTCCCGCATGGTCGAGGAATGCAGGAGAATTCAAAGCAAGTCCTGGAATTGCTTAGTTAAAGATAATTAAAGCATTTCTTACTCTTCCATCCAAAGATTCTTTGTTCCAATCCAAGAAGCTCAATCACAGGAATCACAGGTCTATCATTCAAGACTGTAGCTGGGCGCAGCTATCCCACTATGTTTTCAAGAATCAGGATCTTTGGCGAAGTGGGTGTGTTGCAGAGGGACGGGTGGTGGACAATAGATGGCCTTTGTTGCTATTGGTTGGTTGAATAGAGGGGATACCCCTGGTCGTGAACAACCAAGAGTTAGATGGTGGCATCGACCCCTCGATAAATCTTGATTGGTTGGACCTCATTGGTGGTCACCAGTGCTTATGCGACAGCGGTTGCGCGGTCAGGCGCTGTCGGCCTTTGCGCGGCAGCGGAAGGATTTGGAATGGCAGTCCTTGCGCCTCAGGGGAGAGGCGAGCGACAGCAACAGACAGAGCGGCGAGGAACGTTGGAATATGTTGGAATACTAGTCTTTTTTGATCTCTTGAGAGGAGGAAGTCTCCAAAGGGCTCGGGAAAAGGAGAAGTCTCCGGCTTGAAATCTGGGTCGCCGTGAGACCTGTCAGCTTCATAAGTTTCATGTATGTTCTTCTTTCTAGGGGTTGGAGTTGGTGGCCCACCTTTCCTAAACACCTTTGGCTTCGTCGTTGTTGAAGAGACGATCAAGTGGCGTCGGGACTGTCAAAGGTGGCACCAGCTTGAGTGGATTTTGGAACGTTAATTTTTGACCAGATAGCCGTCATTGCCACGGCCCTAGCACAGGGCAGGTCATTCAACAAAAACACCCAAGTGGATTCATGTGTTTGATTCCATCCTTGGACCACCCAGCAACTCACCAACAGCTGCTCTGTTGTTTCTTACTCCGCGCCGTTTCGTGCACCCCAAATCGGCTCGTCTCGGGGCCAGGTTCGTGGTCTAAAGGCTCGTTTGGCGGCCGGAGCCTCAGAGGCATTGAGTGCGAGAGGTCCGGACTCCTCAAAACTGGTTGGTCTTGGAGGTCCCAGATCCTGATGCTGAGAGGTCGATCCTAGCCGAATATGGCGGAAGAGTCCCCAAGATGCATCGCGACATGCTTTGGTCTATGTTTGTCTTTATCCAGGCTTCCAGCCCTCACTCTCTTTGTTTCCTCCCGCACGGCTTTGGCCCAGAAAGCAGGTCCAATTCCGGGCTCAAGGCAGACCTTTTTTGGAGAAGAAACCTCCAGGGGTTCAACTGGACCCTGTCTGGTCCCGTTGCGAAACGGATCAAAAGACGACTCCAGAAGGCCAAACAAGTCCCAGAATGCCGAATGCGTGGTTCCAGGCTCACCGGGTTCCCAAGTTGTGGTTCCATGGTTCCTGAGTTCCAAAGTTCCAAGGTTTAGGATTCCAGGCAAACGTTGCCATCAGGGACTGGCACTATAGAAGTGTGTTTAGACCAGGGAGATCCTCAAAGGCTTGAACAGGAAAGACAGATCAAAGTCCATTGCAATTCCACTACTCACCCATTCATCCACTAGACTGCTTGCTTGGGTCATAGACGAGCAGACAACCTGCTGGGTGAGATTTTTTTCTCTTTTCAAGTGCACCCCCTTTTTTGGCATCTCCAAATGCAGCTCGACCAATTTTCTAGTAGACCACTTGGACCTCAGTGAATGGACTTCAATGCAGTGCTCATGCTCATGCGCTCGTGACGACGATTCCCCATTCGGCCCCCTCCTCCGAGTTCTCCGAGTTCTCGTCCTGGTGTTGACGATGGTTTCTCCCTTTCCGGCTCAAGGGGCGTTGAGCGAGAATGGGAGACCCCAGGCAGTCGTGTCGTTGGATCCACATGGCCTCGAGTTGGGAACCACTTCATGGACGAAGGACATGGGGCCGGAGGTGGCGGAGGTGCATCGAAACTGGAGCGAAGAAGAGATTCACTGCCCTCGATTCTTGCACCACGGACATGGCACCCGCCTTTCTGTTCATTTGCTGGTCACCCAAGATCTCTCGGTTTTGACCCAGAGAAATGTCATGCCACGTCAGCCTCCAACCGGAATGGTGTGTTTGGCTTTGGTCCAACCTGCCATAGCTTGCCAGCTTCCATGTTTGTCGAGCTCGCACTGCTCGTTTCCTTGTTCAAGAACATTGAAGGCCATATGAATCTAATCCCACTTTTTCTTCCAAGTATTCTTTTATTCCTGTGAATTGCCCAGTTGTTTTGTTTTGACTTTGGCAATGTTCGGATTGACCTTGTGTGTGTTTCTGGACAGCTGGCGACGCCAGAACCTGGCGTCAAACTTTCATTTTTCCTATGGTCTATGCAAGCCTTGGTGTAGGCTTTCCAACAAAACTGCTTACAGTACTACACTAATGGAGGACATTCGCATCCTCCAAATCCATCACGGGGGGCCATTGTTCAAATAAGTGTATATGCAGGGCGACTCCTAAATTCAGCAAATCGCTCGCAGGAGGTCAATTGATTACCATGGCGGAGCCAGTTACCTAATATGGTAGTCTTCTTTGGTGCCAATCTTCACCAGGCTCCACATGCCAAGGTTCAGTCCCCCTTCTTTGTCCCAGCATCACCTCACTGCCACTGGAACAAGAAGCTACTAGTAACAAAGGGCATGGCTACCAGGAGCAAGAAGCCACGAACGTAGTTCCTGGCCTTACTACTAGGAACAAGAAGCTTCTAGGGGCTCCTGGCATCGCTACTAGGAGCAAGAAGCTACGAACGTAGCTCCTGGCCTTACTACTAGGAACAAGAAGCTACTAGGGGCGCCTGGCATAGCTACTAGCCTTACTACTAGGAACAAGAAGCTACTAGGGGCTCCTGGCATCGCTACTAGGAGCAAGGACGCTACTGCCAGGATCCGCAGATTGGGCGCTTTGGCGCCAAGCGCCTCGCCTCCTCACCGTCGTGTTGGCGGCCTTGCCACTGCTGGAGGCTTTGCGGCTGCTGCGCGCCCTGCGACACCATCAGGTGCGACACCGGTCCGTGGAAGACCTGCGTCGACCTACACTGGTCGGACTGAGGTGGAGCCGGTGGTCACCAGGGTTGGCGTTGGTCTGTCAACTAACAATGACATTTGAGAGCTCCATTCGGTTGCATACAAACAAGGATCTTCAAAGGTCACACATGTTTGCCGGAAACATCTTTCAGTGAAATGGCACGCTAATCAAAAAAGGTGCCGTTTCAGGGGTTGCAACCATGTGCTCAAAATCCATGGAAAGGGAAAGACGTTGTTTGGATGCCCAAAGACGCCGTTTGGATGCCTAAAGATGCTGTTTGGACACCTAAAAGCGCCGTTTCTTTTTGGTACGCCTTGGCCGAGTTCTTTTCCAAAGGTTGGATTCTTGGCATCGACAGGTCGAGACGAATGCCTTCCACTTCACTTGCGTGATCGCTGCGTGCGGCACTGTGAGCCATTGGTGGCAAGCCTTGCAACTTCTGCAGAGTGCAGAAGAGCAAGAGGTGGGGCTGAGTGCCTTACTCTAGGTTCAAGCCACCAGTTGAGAGATGAGAGGAAAATTGGACTGAATAGGCCCGGCCGATGCCGATGACTGATAGATGACTGGTTCTTGCTTATGGGTATGCCGCTGCCGTAGGTGGCGCCGACTGCTGTGAGCTGCGCTGGCGTCCTGAGCGTTTGCGAAAAGGCTACAGGTCGGTGGCCAACTTGCTTGGAGATCTGGAGGAGCATGCCGAAGTGGTTTCGTGGTGAGCAAAGCAGCTTCGGAAGGAGGAGCGTTTTCTCGAGTAATTACCTTTACCCAACCTGTCCCTGTCAGTCACCGCCCAGATAGGTGTTGAAGGGGAATGTCGCCCAGGTTTTGACTGTACAAAGCACCAGGGCGTTGAACCCACCACTTCGGAGGTACTTCTTGTGCAGGGATGACAATGGGGTCGACCTATGGGTTCCAGGGAGTCCTTCGGGGCCTTTGTGGCTGTCAAGGGCCTTCGTTTCGTTCGGACGACGATCTGGCACCTTCCCTCTTTCTTCTCCATCGTGCTCCGCGATCCCCGCTGACCACGTCCTTCATGAAAAACTCCCATCTGATCGTCAGTTTTCTGAGAACGCGCACCAAGGCAAGTGAATCCCAGCCTCATGGCCTTAAGCTCAGCGGTCAGTGCGTGTGGCAAGGGACTTCAGTGGGACTTGGCATTGCAGACCTTTTCCTCTGGGACAGTGCCATGGCAGAGTCGCTGAAGCCAAAGGTGATCTAGAGCTGATTGGAAGGCATTGAAGATACTGTACCCTGACAACTCCCTTTGAGCATCACCCGAACATCGTATATGTTGGTAGCAGGAAGCACACCAATCGACCCTCTTTTGGTCTCAGCAGACATCAGGTGCACGATGTGGTGAGCTACAGCTCCATGATCAGTGCCTGCGGAGAGTCTGGCCGGTAGGAATTGGCCTTGGAGATTCTGCGAAAGATGATCCAGAGCCGGAAGCTTGGTGGCAAGAGTTCTGTGAGATCGGATGCTTAAAAGTGAGAATGGGAGGGGATGGGTGTGGAAAGGACGAATCCCAACATCATTGCCTACAATGCTGTGATCTCTGCTCATGTAAAGGGCCACCAGTGGCAACGAGCATTGCATCTATTTTGGATTCTGGAGGCAAGACTGCAAGTGAGAAACTTGGAATGGATGAGGGGGTGTTGAAAGCCTATGAATTGGGTCGCCTGAGTAGTTTGCACCTACGAGGAACAGATGTGGCTCCAGGATGTATGGGTCTCTCAAGACGCCCCAGGTTGTTCACTTGTCCAATCTGGTTGACGACTTTTGAGCAAACACCGAAAACCAGCTGTCAGACACATCTCATCGCCAGTATGCAGGCGAAGCCGCCGAGCTCGGAGCTTTCACCGGCGAGCCGAGCTCTCCCACGACCGACTGTCGTCACTTTCAGTGCAGCGATCAGTGCCTGCGACCGGTGGTGGCAAGCCTTGCAGCTCTTGATCCTGGGCTGAACGTTGCAAAGGCTGATCTAGTCTCTGGTCAGTCTCAACATCAATCTTCATGGGAAGATCGAAAGCCAAAGGGTTTGGGGCACATTTCTCCAACAAATTTGAAGGAAGTGGTTTTAGAGGCTAGGCATTTAGAAGATTTGAAGGGAAAAGAGGGTGGACCAATCTTGAAATTGGTTGCATGGAAGCAGCTTTCAACACATTGCCTCCTTCCTGGTACTCCACCAGCTGTGCCAGCTATCCTGATGAGTTTCACTTAGCTGCATGGCTCATGGAAGGGCGAATTCTAGTCTATGCGCCACTTCAACCGAGCCAAGATGTTCATCGAATTGTCTGCTCATGTTGGGGGCTGTTGCCATGGGTTTCTGGATTCGTTGGAAGGGGGTGTTGTCCCGGGGGCGCCAAAACCACTCATCCTCGGTTTTCAGTCTCCCTCCTGGAGGACCCTCATGTTTGCTCGCGCTTTGTCGCCCACCACGGTCACCTTCAATGCAGCGATTGCCGCAGCCGAAAAGGTGGGAGCCGTGAGCCGTGCCATGTGTCGTGAAGAGTGCAGAGGGTGATTTGCCATGGTTCTTCTGCTCCAATGAGCCGGGCGAACTCATTGTTTTGCCTGGGTTCTCAGAGATGAGATGACATTCCCCGGTGCAGAGAAGATTAAATCAGACGCCAAAGTAGAATCGAGAGCCAGTAACCGCAGCAAGCCAGACATACCCCACTTGAGGGCTGCAGAAATTGCACCAGCGATAGACAGTGGTGTGACAAACTCTAAGACCATAAGCAGGAGGCGAGGACAAGTTCTCAGGAACAACATGTGTGGCATTGACAGGGTGGTCAATTCTGGGTGTCAATGTCAAACTCGCAGTCAACAGTCTTCAACAGAGAAATGAACATCTTGCTCGCCTCCTCTATCATTTGGTTGCCAAAGGCAATGTGTCACAGATCTTCTTTTCATGTCGGGTTTGAGACTGGAAGTTTGGTTCAGGGTTGGCCCGTCCACAGGGCATGTTGATGTTTGCTCTCGCGGTCTCTTCTCTTCTCTTCTCTTCTCTTCTCAGGCGCAGGAATGGCAAGTTGCACTTCTCCTCCTGGCTGACATGCTGAAACAGCAGGCACCGTGGGTGAGGCAGTTCTTTTTTGTTTGGAATGGGGCGATGGGTAGCTGTTCAAACCAAACACCTCCGTCACCCTGGCCAAACAGACACATTACCTGGTCATCTGGTCCTTTTGCCTTTCTGCTGAAACTGGACACCACAGGTGAACTTTAGGAGGCATGGCTCCCGGCAAGGCATCTGGACAAGTGCATTTGCAGCACTTTACCCGCAGCGTCCCATGCTTGGTCATGACTCAGTTTGTTCCACCCGTGGGAAGTTCCCGTTTCGTTTCAGTCGACTTTTCCACCGGAGGTCTTGCCGTCAGTGGTGAGCTTCAGTTCAGCGGTGAGCGCCTGTGAGAAGTCTCTTCGATGGGAGATGGCGCTTCGATTGATGGACTGGATGCGCAGCGAGAGCGTGGCTAAGCTTAAAGAAATGGAGAGTATTTTCCTTTGAGGATTGTAGTCTCTACAGATGATTTGGTATCCTTGGGTCTTTCTATTTTCTTCTCTGTCAGAGCCGAGCCAATCAATGAGACTCAAGGTGTTTTCTTCCCGGATGTTCCAATACTTTATATATAAGACACTTTGTCCTTTTACCTTTTTCTCTTCGACCTGGCTTAGGTGCTCGCGAATCAAGTCACCTACAATAGCGCAGCTTGGTGGCACGAAATCAACACAAGCTGATAGAAATGGATTTCACAGATGGTGAGATGATGTGAGATGTGTAAGTCCACGGTGCAAAAACCATCTCCAAAAGAGAGGGAGAACCAACGTATTGAGAGGGCTCACACCCTGCTTTTTTTTGGCAAAGTGCAAGTCGTGGACACTGAACGTCTTCAACTTGCTTGCTTAGGTGATCAGCGCCTGCGAAAAGGGGCAGCAGTGGCAGCAGGCAATGCTGTCGCTTTGGAGCATGCCAAAAGCTCTGGTGGACCAGGACGGAGAGACCTGCATGTTGCGACGCTCCTGCACCTCAAACTTTAGGTGTATCCGCCTGATAGGTTTCACTACATTGGACATCTACTACCAGCTGACTCTGGCCACAGAAGCTCTTTGTCCATCGTCGGCTCATACAGCCCAGAAGTTTTTCAGGATTGATTCCTCTAAGGGAGCATCTTGGGCTTATGCGCATTCCAGCCCACATCCTTTTTTTCCTTTCGCTTGTTCCAAGGAGTTACCTCCTTGGGTCATGCAAGCTTGGGACAGCCCACATCCTCCCAAAAGAAATGCGGCCAGACTGACTCCTAGTAGCGTCCTTGCTCCGTTCCTAGCGATGCCCTTTGCTTGAAGTAGCGTCCTTGTTCCTAGCAGTACAGCCAGGAGCCCCTAGTAGCGTCCTTGCTCCTAGTAGCGATGCCAGGAGCCCCTAGTAGCTTCTTGTTCCTAGTAGCGTCCCTTGTGTTGCCGTTTGTTGCGTCCAGGAGCTCCGAAGCTTCGGTGCCGCCTGCGCTGCCGGCGCGCGCGCCTGGCGTTGGCGCGTGGCGCTGGCGCTGGCGCAGCGGGGCGATGGGATGGCTCGGAGCGGGGCAGTGGAAGCGGCCGCAAAGGTGCGCTGCAAGGGAGGTGGTGGGGTGGTGGATCAGTTTCTAACCCCCGATTTTGGTGTCAATGACATGTTTTTGTTGTGTTGACAGTGAGCTTGGCGCGGGCTCAGTCAAGGGACCCTTGCTGAGCTTCACCGGTTTGGACACCCTGCTTTCGACCGATGTTCCGAGCGCAGAAGGACGCGACGTCCAACGGGAGAGCCCCTGGCTCCTGTGTTGGTTTGAAGGCTTTCAACAGACATGTTGACACCCCTGTTGGGTGTGAAGTGAGGCCTACTTTTGACATGACACCTTGGTCGCACCCAGAGATGCGAGGCCCATACATCATCATATATCTCTGGTATGCAAGTGTTGGAGTACCGGTTTGCTGCCGGTGTGCTTTCAGCTTTCTGGCCAACAAAGCTCCTTTTTGGAGAAAGGACTCGCTTCAAACTCTTATCCCACTGCTTGCCTACCACCCGAAGACTACAAACCTTCCTATTGACTGAGAGCCGAAGGCAATGGCCTGGTGCTGGGCATTGTTTCTTTGTGAATCTTGCAATGGTGCCATGGCAAGAAGCCTGACGCTGGAGGCTGGGCATGGGACAGGATGCCAACTCTGCCGGCTGTGGACTTTCGCGAAATTGGGGTCCCTCTGCGGACTTTCGCGAAATTGGGGTCCCTCCCTGAACATGACTTGCATCAGATACGATCCAGGACGTTCTTCCTATGACTTCGTAAGACTGATAGGTTTGTTCCCACCACTGTGGCCAACGTTGGGAGCAGCTGTCAGGTAATTAAGGGATTTTCCAGACAGCTACCGCCCTTGCATTGGGAGGCTTTTTCAATCTATCTCCACTCATGGCCCATGCCCCGCGACATCCTGGTGTCTTCAGGCGTGTGCGGCGTCGGGCCGTGTAGTGCAGCTGCCACCCTTACTGAGTAGCCTGGAAAGAGCTTCCAAGATGGAGGCCTTTTCCTGAGTGGAGGCCAGTGGAGGCCCTTTCGATTCCCAGGACACTCAATCAACCAGAGTCAGAGGCGATGTGTTTCTGGCAGGTGGTACAAGTTGGGATCAAAGGGGGCAGGAATTTTGATGTGTATGCCGTGTCACTTACTGGGTACAAAGATGCCCAAGAGGAGCCAAAGATGGCCAGATTTGTCAAAGCTCCTCGAACACTCGCTTTCCGAACACAAAACAAATTCGTGTTGGAAGCAAGCGGCCCTTTTTTTAGCCCTTGGACCGAAAAGCAAGCACCTCATCGAACGTTTCTTCTGAAGTCAAACTACCTGATAGCATCCTGTCACCTTGTGTGAGCAGTCGTAAGCACATGTCCTGAGACAGGCATACCCTCCCATAAATGTGGAAACGCACGATAGGCATGTGTAGAAGGAAAAGTGCGAGCAGGTCCTATGTCGAAGTTTTTTCTCCAACAATGTGACTCACATCCTCAGCATGTAAGGCTCAGGCAGCGCAGGTGTGGAATCCCAGCATGCTGTGACGAGACAGCTCGGGGGCGTGTTTGGTGTTAAAGAGTTTGCTCGGCAGAAACAGCAAGCAGATGATTCTCGTGGGGGTGTGGCAGGAGCTATACGGACCAGATGATTTCTAGAAGCGTGGTAACCAAATGAATGAATTGTGGAGACTCCCTTTGTCCCTGCCATCTAGCGGAACCATGTTTTTTCTTCCCAGAGTCTTTAGGAGGTCTGCTTATTGCAATACACCCCCACAAGATGTTTCCTTTGGTGATTCATATGTCACTTGCTTCCTCTTGAGGCCAAAGAGCGCCCCCCGCGAGAGGCGCTTTTCTGCACGGCGGATGCACGGGCGGATGCAATCCTATATTCCACTAGCCAAGCAAGTATGCAGATCTATGATCTCCGGGGAGACCCCCGGCCCCCCAATCGCCCCTTTCTCGCGGGCAGACCAAAGGTCCAAGTCGATTTGGGATCGAACAGGGGGTTTTCGTCTCCGAGCAATACACCTGCAAGTGCTCCACTTTGCAAGTGCTCATTCAAAGTCCAATGGTTCGTCCTCCGCATATCTTACGCAGTCTAGAAATTGGGTGATCAACAGCCTTGTGCTCTGCTTGGTGACGGGCCTGCGTCCAGGTGAGTAACAGCGGGTAACACGTGGTTCAACTAGCCCAGTAGATATGAATGCTTCAATTGGTTAGCCATCTTGCGGGAAACTCCCCAACGGTGCAGCCTTACAAGTCGATGCGCTAGTCGATGCCAGCTTCTACTGAGACAAGCACTGGACATGTCCATCATTCATGTAACAGTTGAAGCATTTTGTGCGAATAGTCTTTTCCATGGGCTTGTTTCATTTCTAATTCATCTAAGGCATTTATATTTCATTTATAATTCATCTTTGTAGCACTAATGGCTGGGTGTCCGTTTGTGCGAGCTGATCGCCTGGTCGACCTGGACCTGTCTCAGGCGGCATCCGTGTGTGGATCTCAGAGTGACTGAGTGACTTTCTGAAAGAGAGACGGACTGATCTTAGTGGACTAAGTAGCAAGAAGCTACCAGGAACAAAGGGCATCGCTAGGAGCAAGAAGCTACGAACGTAGCTCCAGGCCATACTACTAGGAGCAAGAAGCTACTAGTACCTGATCCAATTTGGAACAAGAAACAATTGGCTATCTCCCTGGTGAACCACAGATTCCATCAACAGATGCAAATCAGATGGACGCTCCTTCTTTTAGGGGATGTCAAGCTTCCATGGATTGCAGGGTGAGGTTTTGACCCACAGCCAATTACAAAGCAAAAGTCTAAAAGATGCATATCTCAAGAAATCAAGGTGAAACTCCCTACGAAGTGAGGTCTCTTTCAAGCTTGTTTTTGAGACAGCTTTCTTATCTGAAACACATGGGACCTTTGTAAGGGGCCTCCGTCAATTGAACTGCTATGAAGCGACAGCACCGACCGCTGGCCCTGACTCTCTGACTCACCCGGTTTTTGGGACGTGAACAGCACTTGGGGACAGCCGCGGGACGGCACACCCAAAAACCATGTGGTAGAAGGAGCTTTGCGGGACGAGCGCGTGAACCATCCTCCCGGACTTCTTCTCCTTTTTCTTGGAACGCCCAGGACAGCGGAGCGACATCGACGCACCTCCTTGAAGTTGCAGCACGAGGTGCATCCGATTCAGGCCCTTGGCCTTGTACCATTGGTTGGTTGATAGACGGGAAACCCTTAAGTGTATGCAATATCTTTTTTGGTACCAAACCGATCCCCCTATTATTCCCAAATGACATCATTGATCTGGAAAAGGGTTCGTTGTGGGGGTGAGGGTCTGGCCGTTCGTGCGTGGGCCTTTTGATGCGGGCAGCAGGGCAGCGGCAGATGTGGCTGCTGGTGGACTGGTGGTCATTGGATCAATTGGCCCCGAGTTGAAGACAGATGAACTCGATTTAAGGGTCGAAAGACCTGCCCATAGGCTGGTGTCTCGGGCTTCCAGGAAAAAGGGATGTCAAAAGCACAAAGACTCCTAGAAGATGTTCTGAAGTATGTCAATCAGTATCACATGTTCCTCCTGTTCATGGGCAGAATGAGCATAGATGTTCACTGCAGGCGTTGTTCAAGACTACAGTCATTTTGCCTCAGGACAAGTTTCGCATTTTCGGTTGGGGTTGCACACTCCCCCGACACTATCATGGCATCGGACTGCTTGGTTTCAAGACATTCGAGACCAACGTTTGGAAAGCACAAACAAGAGACACAGACAAAAGAACACCTGCAGAGCGAGTCCATGTTACAGATGTGCTGAAACCGAGACACATGGCCTAACTGGGAGATCCACTCCGTCCGCCGTAACTCGCAAAGGACGTTGACACGGCGGACGGAGCTGACCAAACGGATTTTCATCCCCCACCATTAGAGCTCTTTTGGGCTTTTGTGGTACGAAGTCCCATTCTTTCTGGCAGAGCTGTTGCAAAGGTCGATCCAAATGCGCTGAAAAGGATCCTCCAAGCGCCCAGATTTTTCTAGACTCCGCTACTAGTACTCTCCCAACATCAAACTCGGGCATCGAGGGTCTCAAATTGGTCTCAAAGGGCTCCCCATGGAAAGATGTTCTGAATGGCTTGATGCTCTCCATGTTTGTAGAGGTTTACAAGTAAGCGGATTCAAGGCAGGTATGGGAATGTGTCCCTAGACCCACCCTCCGTATGGGCTCAGACACCGGGAGGTCGCCGAGCTCTGGGAAGCCTTGCGCCAGTACCGAGAAAAGGTGGGGCGCTGGGGCCGGCGGCGAATAGGGCGCATGGGGCACTGGAGCCACCCTGGTCATGGGGGACGAGCAATAGGTATACACCATTATGCTTCTCTTCACATTCCAAGAGAAGAGGTTGACGGAACTGTTGCACTTGTAGATGAAAGGGATCGTTGGGTGAAGAGGAAAGGAGGTTGGTTGGTGCTTTGAGCACACCAATCAGTTGGTGCTTTGAGCACACCAATCAGTTTTCTCAACTGCAACGTAAACCTTTATTATCCTTTATTCCTGTCAGGATGGTTTATGGATGATGACGGATGGATGTGCTTTGAGAGATCTCCGCAGAACGAGAGCCAGATCCATAGTCCACTAGGCTTTGGATGTCATGTTTGGATGAGTCTTGTATCTCACCATCCCATTCAGACATCCATCGCTCATTATAGTTTGCCCGGTTCCACCAACAAACCTCGAAGTCTAAATGGGTTCATGGATGCTGCAGATGGCCATTGGCCCTTCACCCTCGTCAGATTCTTCACCGCCACTCCAGTGCCGGAGTGGGTCAAAGAGTTCCAAACCCATTTTGCTACTTGCAGCGGCCATCCATCGTTTCCAAAAACCGGGCTTTGTCTGAAGAGTGTTTCAAGAGACATCCCCCCACACATCCACCTCTCAAGGACCCTTTTCGGCCGTTTTCGGCCAGGCCCAGCGAGATTGTGAGGCCGTGGTCTCAAAGCAGGACTTGGCCAAAGAGGAGTTACTCCAGGTAGGATTGACATTTCTGAGATGCTACAAGAACAGGATTTGCATCCTGCCTCCATGTGGGTGAATCTTAGAGATACTGTCGCTTTAGTTGAGGAAATCCAACATGGATTGGCAGCGAAACAAATCGTTTGCTATTCTTTGTAGGCCTTCAAGTCGCGCGACAGCACGCGCTACTTGGTGGCGCTGGAGGCTGCCCTTGAGGCGGAAGTGGAGCCTCAGGACATTCCCTGTGTCGCTTGCCTTGTGCCTGCCGTCGGTGGGGGTGGGTGGGGGTGGGTGGATCCCTTGAAAGGCCATGGTAGCCAGGTGTGTTCTGAGTGTTGCTGCCTGGTTGGGAGAATTTGGCGGCTAGAAGAACCACCAGAGCGTTGGCAGATGTTCTTCAAAGGTCATGTTCGGCAGCGGAAGACCACAGAAGGCAGTGGGTGGTGGTGCTTTTCATCACGTTCCGGGAGCATGCTCCCATGATGGGCATGGAGTTGTGTCACCCTTTCCTTGTGGGGACTAGGTGGCGCAATGAATTCATGTCATGAGAAAGACACTCCGAGTCACTAACATGAAGTGGACAACCACCTGTTAGCAGAGGAAAATGATCATCCAAGGCGCCATTTTCCACTTTCACTTCCATGATACTTTCGGGGAGTATATGGTGACTCATCTTCGGTTGGTAGGTCTGGGATGAGTAGGTCAATTCGAGGTTCATTCAGCATTCGTTCGATCGATTGATTTCAGGTGGTTGGTCAAGATGGCATTGTTCAATGCCATTTTGGCTCAAGATCTTGAGCTCCACCGGTTTTTTCTGCGATCGCTCCGCTCGGAGGGCCTGGGGTCATGTCGTACCGTGGCAGCCACCGTGGTGGAGGAGGTCACTGGCCGAGTGGTAGAGGCTCAGGAGGATCTCAAGGGGCATCGTTCAGTTCTGCCGGAGCCAGCGCAGCTCACAACCCCTTCGAGGTCAAGATTCCAAAGTTCTTAGACTGGCTCGAGGTCAACACTGAGAACGAGACGGAGAGCTCCATCAGTATGGTCGACAATCGTGACTGGCGAATGGTCTCGCCTTTCCAGTCATGGTTGACCAAGGAGATCATGTCGAATGCAGCCAGCTCCATCAACGTGTTGACAGAACGGGATCAGGTGATGCCGACAAGTTCTGGTTTCCACCTGTCGCTGTTCGCAAACTACACGCTCGATGGGATCAAGGCAGTTTTGGTTGTGTCGAACGACACGGAGACAGGGGCGACGAATGCTGGATGGGACCGCCACACTGCTACGGCTCTGGCGCACCCTGCTTTTCAGCCATTCACCTGGCCATTGCTCCGTGATACCTCAGCATCGTACACTGACGTCAAGGTGTATAATGTAAATGAGATTTTGTTCCACTGGGTGTTCCGTGGCTATCGAGCTGACACGGACTTGACGGTCCAACAACAGTTCGTGGACGAGGTGCTAGTTCGGGAAGCCAACAAAGGAAAGCCTAAGCTTTCCATCGTGGTCGCATCGTTCATGGGCTGGAGGGTCACCGTGTTCTCGTTCGAGTGCGGTGGCAGGACATACTCAGTGGGGCCGCAAGGGGCCGTGATTGCTGGAGACCATGCTCGCTCGAGGTTTGAACTGAGAGTTTGCAGTCGTTCTTCACCGGATGCCATGGGGAACGACGCTGACAGAGTTGAGTTCCGTTTCAGGGACGCCAACAACAGGCTGGATCTCAAGTGCGCCAGGACATCAGTGCCTGGCACATGGCTCACAGTATCCCACATCCCAGGGCCTGCTCTGATTCAGACCATTCAGAATGTTCGCAATGCAAGAGCTCGAGTTGAAGGTGCTGAACATACTGAGCAGTTCGCTCAGTTGGCTGCAGTTCACCAGGCATGGTGGGAGAATGCAGTGGCCGGATCCGCAACTAAGGTAGGCTCCACTACAGACTTCATTGGCGACCTCGAGAAGGGAAACTTCCACATCACTTGCACATCCAAGTTGTGGGTGGTGGTTCCGGAGGTCGTCAACCAGAAGGCGCTCGCCGAGATGCAGCACGAGGGCACCGGTCGTGCAGCCCCCATCGGACCTCCAGCGCTCACTGGTGAAGCATGGGGCCATGCCGCACAGGAAGCCAATGCGGATGATGGCATGGCCGGCATTGGGCTGTCAGTTCGGGCCCAGGCCGACTATGAGCTCTCGCGCCGGGCTCTCAACAAGGGGGAGGTGTGGTCAACTGGTCACGAACCAGATGAGGAGCGAGATCTCGCCAGGCTTGACCGCCGGTACGCTCGTTCATCGGCAGCAGTCACCCCGGGCGTGTTCGCGGCTCAGATTTCTCAGAAACGGTTCAACGAGACCACAGCCACGATCGAGGAGCTTGATCTGCCGCCGGGTGATCTAGAGTTGCCATCCAGAGCGGCTGATCAGCCCAAAGCACCAAGTCCGGTGCCAGCTTCGCAGCCCTACATCGGCGGCTCAGTCGGTAGAACAGGCCCAAGATCAGGGCCCCGGCTCGGCTCCGGTGTCGCTGGGCCCTTCCGCTGCCAGCCAGTGAGAACGGCTGATCAGCTGGAGGTTGAAGATCCTTTTTTCCACTGGCCAGATCGAGCCAGGTTCGTTTTTGATGGAGTGAAAAACTTGAAAGCGGATCGTTGTGTCATGTTCATGATCTGTAGATTTATATATAACATATATGACTTGGATAATTTATTGCTTTGATATAAGTTCTTTGACTTTGTGATCTGTTGGATTGATCATGCGAGACATTCGTTCGTTCGGCACGAGCGTTGCAAGTGATGGGGGGTTGGGAGGAGCTCAAACCAGGCAGGTCCGATCGGCACCTGTGTCCAGGGTGGGTTCCCGTCCTTCCCCGGTGTTCACCTTCCAGTCTGGGCATTCGAGGCCCCCACCGTTCGTGGCGTTCGACCCTTTTTGCTTTGACGTCGCTCGACGCGCTGCAGGTCAGATCCTCAGAGCGTGGCGGTAACCAAGATCCCTGGTTGCCGCTTCGCGGGGCGGACGAGGGCGGTCGTCGGTGTTGTCGTCGTTGTCGCTCGTCGGTTCGGGTTTCGTTCATGCGTTCGTCGATCGGCGAGCGCGGGTTCGAGACTGGGAGATGGGCGCACGTCATCCAATGCATGAATTTTTCATTTGCTTGTTCATGCATGCCATACATCAGTAGTGATCACTACTTTGTTTGACATGCTTACCCCTTCCACCATGGATCGTTCGATCGCGGCGTTCCTGCAATTGCCCATTTTCGATGAGAAGTTCGCGGATGGGCTGGAGCGCATGGGTTTGGCGCGCTCGGAGTTCTGGCTGACGCTGGACGCGAATGAGAGCGCGGACGAACAGATCGCTCGGTTCGTAGGGGTGATCGATGTTGAACAAGAGATCAAGGATCAGGTCCTGACTAGGATCGATTGTGCACCACTGCTCTATGATATGATCCATAGGGCTCGGGAGATTGCCACAGATCTGGGCTTTGGGGCGCTTGATCATGGCTGCACTGTCTACCCCCTCACCACTGAAGTTTTCACTCGGTATTGCGCGTGGCTGGAGAACCGGTCGTGCAGGCCAGCTGTGATTCCTGCTCTCACCTACGCAGCAAGGTGGGTTTGCAAGAGGCTGGCCATGGATCCTCCAGATGTGAAAGCTCCGCGCGTTGCAGCTCTGATCGAGAAGGTCTATACAGATCGCGGCAAGGAGCTCAAAGAGGCGCCACCCGTTCCGATTCTAGCAGTATCAGCTCTCGAATATTATCTAAATTGTTTGATCCTTGATTGCAAGATCCCTGCTGCAATTTTTGTTTGGTGGACGTTGATTTTGATTTATGCATCTTTGCGATGGGACGACGGCAAACACGTTGCCGCATGATCTCTGAAGTTCACGCCTGATGCCCTGCTCGGGGTTGTGTGGCAGACCAAGGTTGAGTGGAAACGTAAAGGGACTAGGTTCGCCGTTCCGTTTTGTTCCGTTTCAGGGGTGCCGTGGCTCGAGCAGGGGTGGCGGGTTTTTCAGGAGTTTATCGATGACCGGGATTTCTTTCTTTGGGATCTATCGTCCGAAACCAAATTCGATCGGGTCCCAGTAAGTTATCCTAGGAGTGCCATGTGGCTCCAGTTTTTCCTAAGGCAGGCGCTGGAGGTCGCGCATCGCGATCGTGTCCTGACCGATGATCAAATCGATACGGTTGGACCGTTGTGCGACGAGGTCACGTGGCACTCCATGAGAGTCACATTGCTCGATGCAGCAGTGCATTCCAAGACAGACGATAAGTTGATTGCGCTCCAGGCCAACTGGAAGGATCCTTCCCAGCTGGTCCTGAAGTATGCGCGTCAACGTAAACAGTTGTCTGTTCAGATGGTGAAGGATCTGGCGCTGCAGCTCAGAGAGCAGTGGAAGCCGGACGTCGAAACTTTTGAGATCGAGGACGTTCCGGATGTTGTAGAACCCGACGTGCCTGAATACGTCGTTCGTTCGAAGCTGCCGTCGAAAGCTCTGGTAGCATCGGACTTACGATGCCACGTTCGGTTGTGCAGTGCCAATCCGACACACACGCTCTGTGGCCGGGTCAAACTCGCAGACGCGACGTCCTTTGGCCCTGAACCGCCGGGGATGGTCTGTCAGCATTGCTCGAACAAGCTCAAATCGGCATAGAGCGACATTTCTCCCTGCAGATCTAAGGGCCATGAAGAAAATTGAGCGTTGAGTGATTCGAATTTGTTTTTGCAAAAGGAAGATAGACATTTTTTATGAGTATGCAAACGATGATTTGTTTTTAAGTAGCTCTGAGTCAGTTTTCTGTTTATGATCCCTCGACTTCGGGCAGCATTTGATCCGATTGCTCAAGTCAGCAAGATGGTCGATCGCACGACATACACCGATGACGCACACACGCGCAAGATCGCTTTACGGCAGATCTTCGGGCGACACTCGCTCCGAGAGGGCTTGTGTGTGGCAGCGGCCGATGCAGGCCTACTCTCAGTGGAAGTGTTCTCCATGCTCGGCGACACAGCTGAAAAAGCAAAGGACACCATCAAATCGATGATTCCTGAAGATCAGCTTGGTGGCTCCACCGCTGAGCGTGACCTGGCGGTCATGCAGCTCGCTGCCGTGTGGCTCGCCTGCCAGGCGCTCCAGACTCAATTTGCCTCCCGCCGAGCTCGCGTGGAGGAAGATCCATCGAAAGTGCCGGAGATGGCGCAAGAAGATCACGCAGAGTTCCGAGCTCGGTTCGTTCGCATGCATCCTGATGTGATCCTCATCGACGCTCGAGAGCCACGCAAGAAGTTCGTGGAAAAGCTCAACCGTGATTTCTTAGTGCAAGGCATGGTGCCGTTCTACACTTTGGCAGAGGTCCGAACTCGGGCAGACACCATTGTGCAGAAGTCCGGATTGACGAAGAATGCAGAAGATCTGCTCACGATCGCCAAAGCTGAAGAACCGGACTCTGTTACAGATGTCAGCGCGTTGTTCAACCGCATCCATGCTCTGTTCATGGCATTGGAGTACTTGCACATTTGCCAGTACTCGCGCCCAGCCGGGCCATGGAATACCTGCAGCAGCTCGAGCAGTTCCGGCAAGAGTGCCCCGGGCTCCCCTTCATCATGGCTGCAGATACGGCCATTCGCAAGAAGGTTTTCGCCTTCAGGCGGAACAGCGAGAGAAATTCAATTGGAATGATGCTCGCACCAAGGCGGCTTTGTCAAAGCCTGATCACAAGAAGGAAGCTGAAGCTCAGCCAGATGCAGTCGAGCTCAACGACAAGCCCGGCTCTCCATCCAAGAAGAAGCGCGCCAGATCGAGCGCCTTCGTGACCAGCTCAAACAGAGCGCAGCCAAGACGACCAAGGTCGATCGACCTGCTCCGGACAAGGACAAAAGGATCCCATCGTCCGAGTGGCAGACGATCACCGCAGCATCGCAGTCGGTCAAGGGGCCAAAGCGCTGTCACTACTTCAACTCGTCCATGGGATGTTCCATGGGCGACAAGTGCCGCTTCAAGCATTTGTGCATGAAGTGCGGCGCGGCTCACCCGATGGTGGGCAACCACTGAGGCCGCTCGGCCAGCCCTGCCAGGCCGACGAATGAAAAGGAGGATCCACCTTCTTTGATTGATGCGGACTGGTGTTGGGGCTCCTTGCAGTTGCCCAAATCGGGAAAATTTTTCCTTGAGATTTTTGCAGGAGAAGCAGTTTTGACCAGAGCTTTTCAGGCTCTCAATTTTCCAACTTTGCCACCAATAGAGCTCACAGCCAACCAATTCGTTCCCAGCTCCACTGATGTCACCAATGAGGATGTTCTTCGTCACCTACAGCTGTTGTTCGACCAAGGGTTCATTTGCTACGTGCATTTTGGCACGCCCTGCTCGTCTTTCAGCTTGGCTCGGAAGAACGATGGAGGACCTCCCCCTCTTCGTGATCGCCAAAATCTCTGGGGCTTACCAGGCCTTAGCTCACAAGACCAGGAGAAGGTTCGTTTGGGAAACAAGCTCATGGACATCACAGTCAAGCTCGCGCTGAACGCCCATGAATCGGGTACTTACTGGTCCATCGAGAACCCACTTGGTTCGTACTTGTGCCGCCCGTGAGACGTTTGCAGCGCACTTCCGGCGCTCACAGGGTCGAGTTCGACGTGTGCCGTTTTCAGGCACCCCACCTCAAGCCCACCGCACTGGTGGCCACGGTGGAGTTGTCGCCTTTGGCTCAGCGCTGCGACCAGAAGGAGCGCCCTCACCATCATGAGGCGCTGCATGGCATCATCAAGATCGATGGCAAGTCAGTTTTTCGGACAAAGCTCGCCCAGGTCTACCCTGTAGAGCTTTGCCGCCAATGGGCTCTGTGCGCAACTGCCGTGGGTGATCCTTTGGCCTTGACCTTCAACATGATCACCCCCGAGCAGGAAAGAAAGCGTCCGCTCGGACAGCCTGTGGCATGGCAACCACACGCGCAGCAGACATCGGCTGAGAAGGCCACATCGGCCGGATACCAGCTCAAGCAGTCTGCTTTGCCACCACTGATTCCGGTTGAAATGGAACCGGGAGAAGCCGTTCGGCATGCTCTCAACACAGTGCACCCTTTTGCTGTACTGGGAACGCAGAGCTCATGACTTGTTGCCGCGCACGGACGCGATCCTGCAAGCAGTGCCTGACACATGGCTCCGCACTCTTTTGCGTGGCGCTCGTGATCACGAGCCGTTGCAATTGGGCCAACGCACACATGTGGCTTTGTGGGAAGAGCTCATGCAGCACGCAAAATCAGTCGACACCCAGTTGGTCAAAGAGATGACGACAGGAATGTCGATAGTCGAGGACATTCGTCGGGCTCATAGATGGGAGCCCTATGACAAACCCCAAGAGCTCATGCCTTTTTCTCAGTTGAAGGACAGGGCCTGGGAGTTCCGTCAGAAGGTGCTCCGAAATGTTCTCAAATGTGCAGTCACAGACAACACTCAAAAAGTCTGGGACGCCACGATCGAAGATGTGAAAGAAGGGCTCACACAAGGTCCTTTATGATCAGAAAGAAGTCTCACGCTTGGTGGGCGACCCATGGATCCCTACTCAAAGGTTCGAAGTGGTCCAAAAGAACAAGGTGAGGGGGGTCGAGGATCAACAAGGCCACCAAGATCGTCGAAAAGCTGGATCTCCCCTCAACGGATGTGAATGTCGCAGTTCTTCGCTGGCTCAAAACGCGAGCAGGTGCTGGTGCTGTCAAAGGGTGGGTGCTCGACGAGAGAAAGGCATACAGACAAGTGCCAATCCACCCATCACACAGACGCTGGAGCGTGATCTGCATGAGGGATCCCTCAGATGGGAGACTTGCTTTCTTCATCATGGTAGGTCATTCGTTCGGACTAGTATCTGCTGTATACAATTATACAACAGAAGGTCAGCTGCCACTACTGACATTTTGAGAAGGGTCTTTTTGGTAGCTGCTTTCAATTTCTACGACGACAAGTACGGGTTCGAACCATCGTCGACGATCGATTCGGCTTACACGGCGGCGCAAGCGGTTCATGTCTGGCTTGGAGCTAGGTTTGACCAAAAGAAGCTGCAGTGTTCTGATCAACCCACCATCCTTGGGGTCACCTACGATCTCGTCAACATGCAACTGCTGATCAAGCAGGATCGGAAGACAGAGCTAGCAGATGAGATCGTCTCGATCCTCGAAAGCCAAAGGCTCACCCCAGGTCAGGCCTGCGAGCATTGTCTGAAAGACAATATTCCATGGCACCCGTGACTTCTCTCAACAGGGCTCTGAAGGCCTCAACGGTCCCCCAAGGCGGATTAACGAGCTCGAAGCCAGGCTGCCCGATGCCGTTATTTTCACTGATGGCAGTTTTCCCGAAGGCCGAGCTGACAGTTTGATTTTCCCTTGGATAGGAGGTGTTCTTTTTGCCAAAAATAAACAACCCCTCCAGGTCGGGGCTAGGGTCAGCCAAGAGCTCATAGATCAGTGGCTGCCCCGCAAGTCTCAGATAGCCATGGTAGAGATGTTTGCAGTTGTGGTCGCTCTCGAGACATTTCGGGACGAGATCGATCACCAGTGGATTTTAATGTTCGTGGATTCCGAACCGGTTCAAGGTGCGTTGGTCAAAGGATACTCGGCTCGCGAAGACATGTGCGAGCTGACAGGTGTGTTTTGGAGGCTCGCATTAGAATTGCGGGTCTGCACATACATCGATCGGGTATCCACCGATGCTAACCCGGCGGATCCGCCATCTAGGGATAGAATGGGTATAGGCGTGGCTCTATAGGGTGGAAGACGATACCTGCTAAGTTCCCAGAACTAAGGAACAGCGTGGGTCAGAAAGCAATGGACAGTTGAAGGAGTTCGTTCTGCGAACACAAGTTCTGAGCTCATTTTCCTCTGTTCAGAGATCGCCAAGTTTAATCTGATGATCTAACCTTCCACTTACCCACGTCTTCCGGAAGGAAAAGGACAGGCGCGCTCGCGGCTGCTGTTTCTTTTTCTTCTTTGGGAATGAATGCGGAGTGCCCTGTTCAGGGCACGGGATGAAACGGAATTGATATATATATATATATACACATACAGTATCCCTAAAACTACTCTCTATGCCCTAGGCTATTGATTTCCTCGGGAATGTTGGGAGCAGGAGTGATGCGCATTCACCGACGAGCCCCTGAAAGACGCTGAAATTGCTGAAACGTCTCCAGATCATCCCAATTCCACCACACGAAGACCTACCACCGAGACGTCCTTTTTGAGATGGTTCTGCCAGGCCCATTTCCAGGATTTAGAATTAAGCAACCACCGCAGATGACCACTTTGGATACATGTGTTCCTGTTAAGATCTCGACCAATCTGTTTCGTGCAGCATTCGTCGATAATCTGCACCAAGGGCTTTTTGCCACCCTGTTTTCATTGTTCCAGTGGAGGACGAGAGTTGGGTAAACATTCGGAGAGGGGAGGAGAGTCTTGCATTGGCTCGAACAAACCATCCAAACCTTTGTTTTCCTTCCCTTTGTTTCAATATGGTGGTCAGCTATTCTAGCTATTCTTACATTTTTTGGAGGACACCTGCACCCCCTTGGAGAATTTGGGCATTTGCGGTGGGCCAAGTTCCAAGGCTTTCATCCACTTTTTCAGCACTCGCCCCGAGGTCTACAGCCTCCACCGAGTTTCAGGATCTTTCGAAGTTCATGAGATTGATTTGAGGAGGCGGACCTTCAGCGCGCAGCTGTGCTTCATCTTAGACTACACCAGCAGTATGAAGACTCAGGTGGGAAGTTTAGGCATTTCTTTTTGGTCGCGAAGGGCAAAGGAAAGCGCGTAAGCGAGAACATCTGCCGGAAGGATCAACAGACGTGTGGACATCAGGTGTTTTTGTGTCCTTCTTCACTCTCTTGACGCCGGATGATGTGGTTTTTTCTGACATGTCAAACACTCGGGATTCTGACCGATTCCGAACCCCGCCTGGTCCACCAGGTTCAGGAGGTGAAGTCGGCCGTCCCCCGCATCATCGAGGCGGTGCGCCAGCTCCACTTGCCCTTGACGCCCAATGCGCGCGTGGACCTGGAGATGAGCTGTGTGGCCTACAACGACTGGGACGAAGACACCTTTCGTCTGGGCCGGCCAGTGGTTGCGATCTTCCAAGGGCAAGAGATTCGACACGCACATGGAGAGCCACTGCTCAGGGAGGAAGACTTCAATCTGGGCGGTGAGTTTACCAGGAAGGCGGAAGCCTTGGAGGCTGGTGGGTCACTTTTCCTTCTCTATTTATCAGCGCTCAATCATCGATTTTTGTCGGCCTTTGGAAGACATGCACCCCCCCATTTTCTCACCGTTTTTCCCGGAGTCCTGGATCGAATCGAAGCAGGCTTGGATCGATCAGGGTCTCGGGCATGGCGGCTTTGTTCCTGAAGAGCTCACTGGAGCCTTGCTGGCTGCTTCTTACCTCCCCTGGAACGCTGAGAACGAGAGCGAGCCCAGTGCCTGTGCCAAGCTGGCAGTGGTCATTACAGATGCGCCCTGCCACGGCAAGGCGCGGGGCTAGGTTGTTGGAGGACACACGCAAAATGGCAGCTTTTTTGGGGTGTGGGCTTTTCGGGGTGTGGAAAGTGGAAAGGGGATGAAAGGGGTATTGTCGCTGGCTTGCATGGGCACCCAGTTCCTTTAGCTGCCTGCATATCCATCGAAGGCTTCTTAACAGAGCCCATTCCAAGTCTTTTATGGGTTGGCAGAAGAGCGACCCAGGTTTCGCACCGTTTCAGTTTGGCCACACCAAACCCATTGGACTTCCCCAACTAACTATCTCCCAACCGGCCAAATCAAGCAGTTTTTTTGCAGACCAAGACCCCACAAGCACTGGAGGATGGACAACCCTTAACCTCTATGGACACCCCGAAACGGCCACGACTGTTTCTCGGCTTGGCCCCTGCCCTCTCTCTCTGTTGGGAGCGGGGCCCGACCGGACCATCGGCCAGACGAGGCCTACAGCGCGGTGGCGCACGACGTCTTCTGCGACCGCTCGACGGGGCTCACCTGCAGCGGATGCCCGGAGGTGCCCTTGCGGCGCCTGCGCGAGCAAGGTGTGCAGGTGGCGATCTTCCATACAGGAGAAGGCGGGAAGGAGGTCGGAAGGCGACCGGTGTGGGGTGTAAGGAACGAAAGGGACGAAAGAGACCACACGATCCATCCGATCCAGATAGTGATAGGCCGCAAAAAGCCTCTTCCATTCACCGGAGCCTTCCATCCTCCAGGCCCTGCAGTGTCGATGTGTGAAAAGCTGTGTGCCTCGGAGCCGGACCTGATCCATGAGAAGGTGGATCCATCGGCGACAGCTCAGAAGCTGGTGAATCTCCTGGAAGGCCCGGGACAGGTGGAGCCGAGTGTGGAGCCGCAAGAGCTGGCGCGGGAGGGTTCGGAGCTTTTCTTGTAGCTGATGGGTTGGTACAGTAGGTGCAGGGAAGGAGAACCATTCCCCGAGAAATGGGGGTCTCTCCATGTGCCATAACTTGGAACTGTTGAAGGTGGGTGTCACTGTTGAGCTTGTGCTGTTGCACTTTGGTACTTCAGATGATTCCAGGCCAACTTGTAGCAGGTCGTCCACAGTCCAGGCCACTTCCAGATGCCCCCAAGCGGTGCCAGATGACAATCAGGCAATGGGCTTTTTCAGTGGTTACTGGGTGGATCTCTGAATTTGTCCTGGGATCTGGCTTGTACACGTGTAAATCTGCTCGCACCAGGGCAGACCGAGTTCGAGTTTGCTATCCTTGTCCAATCTGTGGGGTTGTGCAACTGGCCATGCTGCCGTTGTAGAGTTGGCACTCAAACGGACATCAAGGTGGTTGCTCGCCCCAAAAAACTTGCACACTTGCTTCACCCCATTGTTCACGATGTTCTGACCAGCCTTGTGAGTCTTGTAACACCAGCGGCTGTCCGACAGGTTCTGGAAGCAGTTTTTGTGCTAATTCCAATACGATCTTGCAGTGTGTGACATTGTTGCAAAGATTGTGTTGTGCTTGCATAATGCTGCAATGCAACTGTCAACCAACTGGACTGTTTGGCTTCCTCCTGAGCCATTTGCTTTTGCGAGTGAGCCTGTGTTGACAGCCCTGGCCCTACCCACAAGAGCTAATGCACTGGATTGTTGCTTATGGTAATCCCAATACGCTTTTGTCACACCGGCCATGGCCGGGTGTGGGGCAGACCGCAACAGGACGGTGGATTCTAGAGTGTATGATGGGCTAAGACGATGGGCGAAGTGTGCTCACTGGGCGCCCCAAAATGACCTCTGCACCGGTCCTGGCCTTTTGGTACATACGCCGAAAGTCATCAACATCATGCCACATCTCTGACTCTGAAGGGATCAGTTTTTTCTTGAAAAGCAGACCCTGTCCTCTTCCAGGGAAGCTGAAGCTACAGCCGCTGTCGTACGTCCTCAAGACCTTCAGCCTGGGACAGCCCGAAACGCCACATCTGGATCTGGCGCTGGCGCATGACATGGAGGTGGAAGATGGCGATGGCCAGAAGGAGAGGTACAAGATTGGTAGCTTGGCAAGTCTGACAGATCCGGTGGGCTCCAGCTCTGCAAACTTGGTTGGTTTGAGTGAGGCCCCGCAAGTCACTTTGCGGTTTCTTGGGGAAACAGAATAAGGACTCTGACAAACTCTCTCAGTCAGGACTGGCTAATCTCAATGATCTCTCGCATTCTCTAACCATCCTCGTTGACATTTCCTTTATGAAATGGGCGGCCTTGAGGCCCGTATAGTTCCTCTTCATTCGGTAGTGTTTTAGGTGGTACCCGCCAAATTATATCTATAAAATGGCTGACACAACCCCTCCTAGTGAATGCTAATGGGGATCTCTAACCAAATCTTGGCCCAGTTTGCGTTCTTGCGTTCTTCGCCAGCCTGCCTGCCGATCCGGAGACCTGTGCATCTGAGGACTGGATGGCCTCCTTTTCCTGGGCTTTCCTGAGAGGAACCCTAAGGTCGTGGTCCGTCGACCACTGGATTCCAAGCTGGACCCTCTCTATGAGCGGAGGAGAAGCTTGGGCGCAAACCTAGGGCGATTATCAAGTTGGGGTCGTGGAGCAGCTTTGGAACGAGCTATATAAAGTAAGTGCAGTGACCCAAAGTTTTTCTAGCTGTTGTATCCTTTTTGAGACCTCGGCAAACCTCACCCACCCAGAGCACCTGCCAACATGCCAATTCCATGGGAGATCTCGGAGCCCCGGCTATTTCCGGGGTTTCTCTTTCACGTCCCATCGCTAGTAGGTTGGAGGCCATCGATACTAGGGTGGAGGCCATCGCTATTAGGAGGAAGGACGCTACGAGGGGCCTCCTGGCCTTACTACTAGGAACAAGAAGCTACTAGGGGCTCCTGGCATCGCTACTGGGAGCAAGGACGCTTAGGGTGGAGGCCATCGCTAGTAGGTTTTCACATCCCAACGATGCCCAGTGACGCTCGGGACGCTGAATACTATTGAATACGCTGAATACGCTGAGTACGAGGTGAGCTGGTGGAGCTGCCGCGCGTCTACGCTGGGTGCGGGTGCCATGAGCTGCGGATGTGGCCCTTGCGGGGTGAAGGCCGGGGGGAGGAGCAGGCAGCGCTTCTGAAAGGGCGTTGCTTTTTGTTTTCATGAACTCATTCATGTGGAAAATACCACATATTGGCAGAAGGCACTGCTCGGGAGTGGTGCATCATGGCCAAATCATTCTGAGTAAACTTTAGTAAACACCACATAGGTACATATTTGTCCAGTGGTCCATCTTGTTCATATTTTGGGTTCCGGGGGTTTGGGAGTAGACGAATAAGGCATGCCCGGTCCCACGGGGTCCGAGACGACGCATCCACACGGTCCCCTTGCTGAGCACCGGGCGCCGGTGGGGTGAGCCTCTGCATCCTCGCACTCCCGTCCGATGGCTCCCCTTGTGGGACGGGTTGATGCTTCACTGTGGACTCTGGTCGGAGCAGTGACACAAATTCGTTGGAGAGAACAAGCAAAAAGATCAGACAAGATTACATGGGCACCTCCCACGTAGAGAGTTGCTTTGGATTGCAAAGACTCTTCTTGTTGCTTAGACTCTACTCGTCAAGAGTTTACATTTTTGGAGCTTCCAACACTCGCAAATCTGGGTCACAGCCAGCGCCCGGAAGGTGCCGATGCGTCGTGCCGAGAGCAGATCACAATGCGTCAGCTCGTCCACATGTTTGTTGATCTGCTCTCCCAGAGAACTGTCCCATGTCTCCTCCACCTATCCTGGAGATGCCACCTATCCCGGTCCGTCTTTTCGACAGCCCATGGTTTCGAACAGACAAATCCCAAAACCTTTTCTGGGGTTGAGTGGGCCAGAGATCCCTGAGAGAATCTTATTCCGATGTGCCCAAACCCCTCTCTCAGCGCAGGGCTCCAAGGATTTGCTCAATCTGTCAGGTTGACCATCTACTTGAGGACAACACTGCTGTGAACAATGCTTCCAGTTGTACAATAGATAGCTTGTCACAGTCTTGTCAAAAGTTGGGATTCCGCAAATTTCCTGTTTGGGGGACACCAGGAACCCAAGAGATGCAAGAAGACACCGTTTCCAATGCGGAATATTGACAAATGCTGTTGAGCTCCCAAGCGCTGACAACTGCGACTTGGCCAGACAACTGCGCTGAGAATGGCGCCAAAGAGCCTTGCTGGGTCCAAAAAGAAGCTCTGCACTGGCCTCGCTGGTGAGCCTTGGAGTACACAATGTATATAGGCATGACGCCTGCCAAATGGAGATGTAAAACCATTCTGCTAGGTGGTGTTATCAATAAACAGTCCACATTCTAAAGACTTGTTGAATCTTTTTGCAATTTTTGGATGGTCAGTCACCTGGAGGCCGGCCGGAGCATCACTGCATGCCCGCCCTGTGGGGGGTGGACCTTTTGCCACATGTTTTTGGCTCAGACATAGTAAGAACATGATCAAAGGCATCCTGACATCCTTTCACACACTGTGCAGACATTGAGAAAAGTAATGTTTATTCGTATTAAGAAAAACACACCGTCGGTTCGTTTCGAAGTCGTTCGGGCCCGGACGCTAAAACTTGAGCTTTTGAGGTGTGAGGGGAGGACCTGAAGCCATCCCCCCTTTCATAGAAAGGTTACTTAGACACGAAGCAACGACGCGTTTGTTTCTTGGTTTCCCGAACAGAGGTGGAAGAGCAACAGGGACGACATCGGAGATATGTCTCGGCAATTTCTGGAATCTGCGGATTCAGCCCAACCGGTTTGCAGCCCATGGCCACCATACTTCAGACCTGTTCGTGCGACCAGGCATCTGAGGACCGGGATGGTATGATGTGTATGTTCAAGACCTAATTAGAGGCTGTATGCATTCTTATATACATATATATTATCGATATCTAATTTTTTTAAAGTACATATTCTGTATTCACAAAGGTGCACGCGGCAGATTCCACGGATTGGACAGTTGGAAAGAATCACTTGACACATGTGTCTTGATTTGAGGCGTCATGGGTACATGGTGGAACATCAGAGTCTATGGTTCTCTTTTTGGCACAAAGTTCTTTTCTCTTTTGTTCTCTTGTGGACCATCGAGTCTGAGTAGAGCCATCTCCAAAGGTCGAGCCGTGGTCTCTCGACCTGGTTTGATCGGTTAGGACTCCTCTGTGTGTGGCTGTGATGATTGTCCTGGCTATGCTCCGCTGCCCAAGATGAACCCTTTCCTGTCGCCTGGCGGCCTCCGATCGAAGCCGTTGGCCGGTTTCGGTTGGGAGCCGGTGGCTGTCGAAAACGCTCTCGATCCTCCCACCCTCACTACGTGGCGCCGGGTGCGAGCTTTACCTCCGTTCCACGAAGCTTCATCAAGCGTTTTGGGTCGACTTCCGAACGCTCAACTGGACATGCTGAGGTCTTGTGGAAATCAGTGCCTCAACTGCACCAGACGAGGGGGGCGAAGACCGAACATGCCGGTCGACGCACTGAACGGAGTGCGGTCGACGGTGGTGGACGGACATTGCGCGGACAGGTGAAGATCCCTTGGGTACGCAGCGGGGTTCCGAGGGCATTTTCAGAGACACATGAATAGATCCATTTTCCTTTTTCAGGCCATAGATGTTCTTTCCCCAAGCAGTCTGTTGGGGTTCTCTCTTAGGAAAAAACGCTGGCCACAGTCGCCGCGCAGGTAAACGCTGTGTCCGGGCGTTGTCCTCTTCTTGTCCTTCTTCTGGTGTCCAGCTTGGCCGCGGCTGCCAGCCAGTCTCCAGACCTTGTTCTCTGTTTTCCTCCTCTTGTTTTCTTCTTGTCGCTGTTGTCCTCTTGTTGACAAGCATGATGCTGTGGTGTGGTAGTGCACAAGCTGCAAGCGATATCATCATTGCGATGTTTGGAATGCTGTCATTTCAGGGATGTCAGAGGAAAACACCGGAGGGGGCGTGCGGGCGTTTCTCCGGTTTCAGTGCCACCCACCAAAGACAGAGTACGGGGACACATCAGGGAAACATCTTTTCGTCTCTACATTGCAGCCATACCAAATAGTTTGAGACCAGATTTGTCTTGGCCCCCACCCAACCGCTAGTTGAACTTGCTTTCTCTTCCGCTAGTTTTTGATAGGTCTGAGGCGAAGCAAACCTAAGTCAACTTGCACTACTCTTCAGAAGTGATCCTTTTACGTCCCGTCACAAATTTAAGGGTTTCAAGCAGAAGATCAATTTGGATTGTGCCATGCTATGTCTTACCCCGGAACCCATTGATTTGGGTCCTTTTCGACGAGACCAGCCGTCTCCAGTCCGAGGGAGAGAACCTTAGGACCCACCTACAAACCAGGTCATGACATTTGTCCATGCGCGCTGAGGTATTCTGCAGCGCATGGCAACTTTCAGCATGTGATTTCGACTGCCAGCTTCTTAGTCTCCAGGTTCACCAAAGTCTCCAGGTTCACCAAGGCAGCGACATGTGTTCCAAAACACGGAAACACCTGAAGACCCCCCACAGAGCCTTGACGTGCAAAGGGAAAAAGTCCGTGAAACTTGTGTGGTTGAGGGATGTTCGTTAGTCTGAGATTTCTGGCCTTCATGAAGCTGCGCAAGCCGCGTCCACTTGGGCCATACAACAAACATTCAGGTGATGAAACTCAAAGATGAGCTGTCTTTTTTTTCCAATCAGAAGGTCTGTAAAAGTATCCAGCGGAGGCCGACTTCCTTGCCGGACTGCCGACTCAGGTAGTTCCCAAGAATGCCGACGGAACTCCAAATCCGCAGCTGTCGACGCACCAGATCTTGTTCGACCGGCTCTCAGTGTCATAAGAAGATGAGCGTCACCACCATAAAAGCCTCAAAGAAGAGCTGAGTCTGAAACCGAAGAACCAAAGAACGCCCGAATAGCCATTGACATCGACGAAACAGCGGAAGAGTTCACCTGTGTCGCCCCTGTGTTGAGTGGAGAACCACCGAATAGCCACTCTCCATTGCAGGGGAAGTCCACCTACCACTCTCCAGTTCCGCGCGGAACGACGTCAGTTTCGTCAGGAGGATGAGCACGGCAAGGAGGTGGGCGCTGCGGTGCAGAAGGCCAAGCAGTGCATCCTCCAAGGAGCCCAGCTCCTGCGCCAGGCGGGGCACGGGTGCCAGTGCTGGTGGAGAGACGGAGCGTGGGCGGATTGGGATGGGAGAGAGGGAAGTGAAAAGGAAAAGCATTGATAGAGTGTTCAGAAGTGTCTGCGATTGGAGGATTTCTGTCAAAGAAGTTCATGTAGAATCTTGATGAACAACCCCCTAGACATGAATACACGCACTTGCGGACCGTCTGTCGACGAGCGCGCCTACGCGTCCCCTTCCCGGGTTGTCCAGGGGGTGACGGTAGGTCTGAAAATGGGGTGTCGATCTACACAAACTGAAGAAGAAGCACAACTAAAAGCTACGAAATTCAACGAGTGGACTGACGTGCGGACAGGGAAAGAACAGCAGGCATACAAGGATGACACTCCAAAACATGAATGTTCTTGCAAGAAACAATCAAGGGACGCACTATGACCTTGATATCCTTTGGGGCGTACCAAGGCCCATGTCCCGATTGAAAGGTAGCAAATTATGAATTATCTTGTAATTCATCTGATCAAATTCCTAATTGGCAACTGGGTGTTGAAGCAAGTCAAAATTCTTCTTCCTCGCGACTGCATTACGGACAAGGATGAGAAAAGAGTCTCGCTTAGGGACTTCAGGCCAGTCTGGCCATACGACTGGTGCTCCCACCGCAGGGAGTGGTGGGAGTTCCACTTCCGTGTGATATGGTGGGTTGTGCGGCATGGTTTGTAGCATGCTATGAAGGAAGTCACATGTCTGTAGCTCGTTTGGGAGCTGGGGTCGGCGTGAGATACCTCGCCAGACATGAATTGTAAAACCTCTTTAGGCTTGGCAGGGGTGGACATACAATCAAGCGCCGTTCGAATGTCTATCACCGTTTGGGTGCCGAGTATATTGGAAGCCTGGAAACGATGAATACCGCAGATGCAAAGGACTGGGTGAAGCACATGTGTTCGGAAGCCCCCTTCAACTGGCCGACTGAACAAAAAGACTGGGTTGAACTGGCATGTCGCTTCAACACCATTGTTGGACGTCTTTGGGTGTCAAACATCGCGGACACCTTGCTCAACAGGCGCTGGGAGCAAAGCAGCGGACCTTGGTGCACTGTGCCTGGCCTGGCTCGTTTCGGAAGACTGTTTCCCATGGCGACATGGTTTTTTGGGCGCATGGCCCCTCCCAGTTGGAGGAACCCTTTCGTGAAGATCGGAAGACTTCCCAAAGACGGTCAGGTGTCTCGGTCGTCTCGGTCTCCCGCTAAACACAAACCGAGTGCCGTGTGGGATATCGGTGCCGAATCCAGACAGTTTGGTCACCCAGACCGGCTTGGCATCGCCGCGACGGGACGATGGGGACAAGTGGTGAGTCTTGTTGAAGACTATCCTGTAGGTCTCAAACAGGTCGAACATCCCAGCACCCGAGGTGAGAAGATTGCATGGCTGATGATGACCACAGATTCTTTCAGGTGTACATCACGCATGTGAGACTTTTGGAGATGAAGCATCTCCAACATCTTGTTGTGCTGAGAAGTCCGGCTGCCACCATGTGCATGTTCATGTGAGGAGACCACCAACCCATGGCTTTGGGTCTATTTCCCTTCTTATTTCCCTTCTTCCAAGGGCTTGCTGGGAGGTCTCCCGGTTTGAATACAGACCGTTCTCACGACTCAGTGTCTATGGATGGTCTTTTCATCTCCATCGATCTGGATCCGACTTCCCGGTCTGGGGTGGCCAGGCATTGAAGTTGGTCACAGACTCTACTTGGCTGTGGGCCAGGCCACCTGGAGCCCTACACACATCTACACACTAGATTGACCTCTCCGGGTAGTCGATTCTCTTCATTTGGTGTGGCCAATCGGTCGGTCCCCCGGTTTTGACCCACAGCCATATCTCTTTCCGCTGGGTCCCCACTTGGGACCAACTCTGGCCCAGCCGGGGAAAGGGATTTCATCCCCTCAACAAGGGGAACAGTCTCCCAGCTCGTATTTCCCGCTTTGCCGAGGTGAGTGGGGCCAGAACCGATCTGGCTCCATCTGCTGTGCTTTCGCTGTGCCTTGGCATCTAAGTGGGGCTGAAGCAAAGATGTGAAAAGGTGGCATTTCCTGAACTTCCAACAAAGCTGGATTGGAGTGATGAAGGGATTCAGCGCAGCCGCAGTTGGAATTGAATAAACGTTGTGGCAGGGAGCCAACCCAAATCAGGAATGTCACCGCGGGCACAACAGCAAACGGCTTATTAAAGAGGCGGCAATCGGCAGTATATACTTTTCAATCATTCGACAGTTGAAGCTAAGCAGCTAGCATCTTGGTCAGTGGACACAGAAGGATATCCCATCAGTTTGATGATTTGACTACTCACTACTCATTCTGCATTGGGTCTTTAATGGTCTTTGGTACTTCAACAGACTCTACTTGGCTGTGGGCCAGAAGCTGGAGCCCTAAACAGTAGGCAGGTTGATCTCCCTGGTAGTTCATTCTGTTCAGTTTTTGTGGCCAACCGGTCGGTCCCCCGGTTTTGACCCACAGCCGCGGGACGGACATCCACTGGGACGGATTTACCGAGGTTCTATACCTGGGCTGGTCCGCCTCCGCAGCCCCTCGGCAGGCAGTACCTGAGGAACGCCACGTTTCGGGGCGTGGCTGACCGAACGGACCTGGTAGACATGACTCCGCCAACACGTGGTAGACATGACCCCTCAAAACAAAGGTCATGTCTGGGTGGATCCTTTTTCGTTCCATGAAGTCGGACACTTGGAGTCCGAGTCTGCTGGTTGCACGGTGCGAAAGCCAGGTTTCCAAGGCACACGTGCTGAGGCTATTCGATACTTCAGAGAGCAAAATCTGGTCGAGCGCCACTATAGTGGGCAGAGCCCGATGAGAGCCTCCTCTGCATGGTGCGGCGGTTTTCACGGCTCGTGATGCGCAGCTTGGGGGGTGGGCAGGTGCGAGTCTTGGTGAAACAGACTTCAGAGGGGTGCTACATGGTTGTTTCAAGTGCTCCCAAGGAATGTGAAGTTGCCTCCTTTCTTCAGGGTGCTCTTTGCAGCACAAAGAAGCAGCAGACAACTCCTTGAGGGCCGCATGATGTATTTTCAAGCAAGACATGCGGAGGCTTATGCTGATCATGACCTGAAGTGTGTTGTTGGTGGGTTGGCCCATGATCGCTATGATAGGCACAAAACTTCCAGATACTGTAGTCCTTCAGTTGACCGCCACTCTATTCCAGCACATCGGGCTCATGACTTTTGTCGGCCAAAGTTGAAGAGTTTGTGGTGACCTACCAAAACAATTCCGCTACTGAGCTACTACTCATGAATGAAAGGGAGGCCAACTGACTGGCTTGCTCAAGTTCGCTAGCCAACGGTGCTACCGAGCAGTGATTTTGGCACTGAGGCAACTCAGCCTTCAATAAGCTGTTGGAGGACAGCTTGGTGATTTCGAGCAGCTTCCTTACCTGACAGCATTAGGGTCGTTGGCGCCGCCTTTGGCGCCGCCTTCTTGTCGCACTTGACGCACTGTCGAACACAGCAGACACCTTTGTTGTCCCTCAACTGGTCCATAAGGAAGACGTGTGAAAGTGGCCCACACACCGCACCAAGGTTCTGAAGAGAGCATTTTTCAGCATAAATGATCAAGAAGATTTGGTTGGCTGCAAGAGTCAGTTTTGGTTGCAGGAAGGCCTCTTTGCCCACCTAGTAGACAGGGATGCTGTGTTCGAGATGGCATGTATCGGGCTTCTGCATCAACGCAGGGTCATTTCAATTCCAAGCTCTTTTGCTCTCTAAACTCTAAACTATAACTATAGTCTACTATTCTCATGAGTCATGTGTGTCTCCAGGCCGTCGAAGTTACCTGGATTCTGTTTCAGCCCTATCCACAAGAGCCAATGCACCAGAGTGCCGCTTAGGCTTGTGTGGCAATCTCAAAGGCTGTTGTCACACCGCTGGCCGGGTGTGGGGCGCACCACTGGCAATTATCTGAAGTGCGCCGAAAGCGATCTTGCTTCAGTGGCGTTTGAGGCCAACCCACTTGGTGCAAAGTGGATGACAGCGGGACAATGCGCTAATGTGTCCGCTGGACGCCCTCTGCCCTTTCTGCAGAGTCAGCTGGTTCGTGCTAGCAGGGGAGGCCACAGACAAGTGCGTTCGAGAAAGACCATTCATCAAAGATATTTCTGGATGCTCTACCTGCCCGGATGCCACCGGTCGGGTGGGCTGCGCCCGACCTCTGGAGACGGAGCCGAACGGGGCGCGTTCCAGGTTTCTTCGTTGGCCGTGTAAAAAGACCGGTCGGTGGTGTTTGAGGTCGGTCAGTGATTTGGGGTGCCAGAACGAATAGTGATGGACATATCCATATCAGCATGGTGTACTATTCATTGAAGAGGAGATCAAGATGCTTGGCCAGACATGTCAATGGCCGAGCCGAGAGTTGATCCACAGCTCTCAATACCAGTTAGATACCAGGTTTTTAGTCACACATGCTCAACGTTCTGCAAGCCCACCTGCCAAAACCCTTCCTCCTTCCCTTGCTTTGGTGGAAAAGCCCTGGTGCGGCCCCTTGGTGCTTTCCGGAGCCCCCAAAAGCGTCGACACGGCGTCAGGAGATTGAGCGCGATCGCATGCAGCTGCTGTCGGTGATGGGGGAGGCGTCGCCCATGTCCCCGCCACCCCAGGCGGTCAGGGCCGGGCGAGGGACGCGAGGTTCAGGGCATGCTGCCTTCTATATGAGAACGTTTTGAGAACGGGTAGATACAGTAGATGCCTCTTATTGAACAGGTCTATTTAATAGATCTTAGATTTGGAGTCAGGGAGAATGATAGATCCTGCATGATCCTGCAGAGTGTCTGGAACAGGTTTGAGGTCCTCTGTCTCAGCTACAGATTCTTGGGGTGGCAATGCCAACCAAGTAAGGGTCCCATCCAAAATCCCCTCCAGCAGCCCCCCTTGATTGAGAAAGACTAATTCAAACACTCCCAAGACTCGACACATGTGTGTTGCACGGCTCTGCCTCCAACTTCGCGGGTCCATTTCCCCAGAAAGCCGCCGAGCAGGAGCTTCAGATTGGTGGACCTCCATGTGGCAGTGCATCAAAACGAGAAATACCTTGGTTGACCTACCAACGAACTCAGTGGACCAGGGTTGCACTTTAGGTCACGACCCATCCCCATATAGGTCTACTGGGCCTTGACCGGACCAGATCTTACCGCCCCAGGTCATTGCCGGTGGCCCAAGGGCTGAGAGCCGGGGGCGCTCGGTTTCGGGCTGGGTGTGGCGGGCTCGGCCGGTTTTTCGAGGTTCTTTTCATCTCGGACCGCCCCATTTGCTCGGGTGGAATCGGGGAGACCGTTCAAAGATTCGGGAAGATCCAAAAATCGACTGTAAATCCATTGGGCCAGGGAGGTCTCAGATGATCCCCGGATCCTCCCTCCTGAGGTGGCGGCATCCACTTCTTCAGGAACGCTCCAGCCGCTCGGGCTCTGCACAGTGGTCCCGGACACCCAGGTCGCTGCACCAAGCAGCAATCGGGCGCGGATGTTCCCCGCGGTGGTGATATTTATGGTTGATTTAATAATTGCCGGACATGGGATGCTGTTCATCCAACTCTTGGCCTGCATCCATGGAATTCACCTTGGGGTGTCATGGATAACAACCGGTGTCAGGCTATTAAGATCACTGGTACAACAGCCGTGTGGCCGAAATTTGAGAGACACACACACACACACACAGATTTGGCCGTAGTCAATCCTGTTTTCAAGCACATGAACCATCACATGACTTTCGGCAAGATTCGGCAAGATCCATTGCTTGCCATATTTGCAGGATTGCTTGAAGGAAACTGCAACCAACGCTACAACCTGTTCTAGTTTCACCGCAGTAAGGATCGCCGCTAGTTCCACCAACAAGCCGTGTTGTCTTGAGCTGTTTGCCATCAAACTCACCCTGAGGTCACTGCATTGAAACAAGACATACCGCAACGCATGGGATTGATTGATTGATTGATTGATTGATTGGATCGGGCTTGTTTCAAGATGGGTGAGTGGTTCTTGGTGCTCCCGTTGGGTATGAGTAAGGGTTCTCTTCCCTTTTTCCACTTTTCTTCAAACCTTTCTTCCCACTGGTTTCAGACGGCCCAGCTTTCTCCACGGAGTAGCAAGTGAGCCAAGGAGATGCGACCGCAACATTTCCAATTCAGTGCCGCGGCTTGCGGGGGCTGGGGAGGGCTGATTTTCCATCCTGAATGGGGTGCAGAATCCCGGAAATGAGTGCAGAGAGTTTTGAGACATGACTAGTCCTAGAGGTAGCCACCTCGGGTAGGTTTGGAAGAGGCTTCCCAGACCAAGTGGGTGAGACATGCTAGTTTGAGGGAGTCAGATTTCTTCCCGCTCCAACTAGGTCGAAAGCCAAAAAGCCAAGTGCACAGTTCTTTTGGAGGTGGTGTTACATGGCTAGAGGACTTAGGACTGAGGACCCTCCCCATGAGCATGTAGATCTTTGGATTCCGATAGCGCCTCTCATTGTGGACGCTCTACTGCAAGACCCTCAAGCGCTTCGCTTCGGGAAGCTGAGGTGTAGCACAGTAGAGACAGCCAGGCACGCTAGCGGCCACGTGTCACTTCTCCGGAAGCTGTTGATGGATCCACATCCTGTACCAAGAAAGAATGTATTTTTGGAAGATCCTATCTAGTATTGTAGACTCTTGGTTCATAAATCCCCCCATATGAAGAAAGACGTGTTTCAATTCAAATGGAGGGGGTTATTAATCAAGAGTCTCGATTGTATGAATACCAACGAACCTCAGGAGGCTTTCATCATGTCCTTTGGTTGGAGCTCGGATGGCTGGTCCATCAGACAGGTCTCCACCTCAGGACCAACCTTCGATCCGGTGCTTCTTTGGTTTGATTTGTTCCATCAATTAGCACTTTCAAGCACTTGACGTCATCTCAAGGACTTCGCAAGTACCAGCAACTACAAGTCTGGTCCACCAGCCTTGCAATCACAAGAATCAAATAATAAACACATTTATCAGCCTGAGTCATGGCTGCTATCTTTTCAACTCTACCTTCATGATGGACTCCTTGGAACATATAAACCCACTTGCAACAGAGTGATACTGTAGGCAGCACACTTCTAGACACAAGTTTTTGCAGTCGTCCTCAAGTAAACATGGGATATTTCAATCATCAACGTTGTCACGTGATTGCGTCCTGTCCAATTTGTTGTGTGGTGTTTCCCCTTTCTCTTTCACATTGCAAACAAAACCCTTGAGGACCTTTACGGGATGGACAGTAAACCCCAAAAGTAAGAAGAGTAAGATGCAATTGAGGTGTTAGATAGATAGATGAGATCGATACATCGATAGAATCGCTAGGTCCTTATCTCTTGATGGCCGATCCTTGGAGCCGCAGGCCCCGCCGAGCAGCGTGAGGCGGCTTCGAGCTTTTGGAGGGCCCAGTAGTCTCTGGACGAAGCACAGGGTTCGGATCGGAAGAAGTAGTGAAGTGGTAGAAGAAGAAGTAGAAGTAGAAGTAGAAGTAGTAGTAGTAGTAGTAGTCGTAGTAGTAGTAGTAGGAGTAGGAGTAGGAGTAGGAGTAGGAGTAGGAGTAGCAGTAGCAGTAGCAGTAGCAGTAGTAGAAGAAGTAGAAGTTTGGAAGTAGAATTAGAAGTAGTAGAAGTATAAGTAGAAATAACAGTAGAATAAGTAGAAGTAGTAGAAGCAGAAGTAGTAGAAGCAGTAGAAGTTTGGAAGTAGAAGTAGGAGGAGTATAAGTAGAAGTAAAAGTAGAAGAAGTAGAAGAAGTAGAAGTAGAAGTAGTAGTAGTCGTCGTAGAAGTAGAAGTAGAAGTAGAAGTAGTAGTAGAAGAAGTAGAAGTTTGGAAGTAGAAGTAGTAGGAGTATAAGTAGAAGTAAAAGTAGAATAAGTAGAAGAAGTAGAAGTAGTAGTAGCAGTAGTAGGAGTAGAAGTAGTAGTAGTAATAGTAGTAGTAGTAGTAGTAGTAGAAGTAGAAGTTTGGAAGTAGAAGTTGTAGGAGTATAATATTAAGAGTAAACATAGAAACATAGAATAAGTAAAATAAGAATTAGTAGTAGTAGTAGTCGTCGTGGTGGTGGTGGTGGTCGTCGTAGTCGTAGTGGTATTCGTAGTCGTAGTGGTAATCGTAATCGTAGTCGTCGTCGTTGTCATGAGTTGTTTCAAGGATACGAAACCTTGTGTTTGGGGTCTTTGAGAGGAAGCTTTCTGACTGTGACTAGATTTGAGAAATCCTCAGTTTCGCCATGTGACTTCCAGGACTCTTTGTGAAAGCAGGTGTGAGAATCAGATGCAATCCTGATCAATCCTGTGAAGTTGATGGCTTCCCCTCTGAAGAAATTCGACTGCTCCTTGCCCTGCATGCAGCAGTTGAGCCATAGACCCTGCCCGCTGACATGCAGAGCTGGTGGTTTTGCAACACCTGCCCTGCAGCGGTCGCCGGCGGTCGGTGGAAAATTCGAAGACGTGTCATGCTAACCTTGTTGGCTCGGTCAGACTTGGGTAGAGAGAAGTTGGAGAACATCCGCCCAAGTCGAACCATCCGGACCGAACATCCACACGGACCGGCGGGAGTAGGTAGGACCGGAGGGAGGTGCAATCATTTGTATCTTGCTTCTGAAACAGCTTCCAGGCGTGAACAGAGATGTTGGTTTGGTTTAGACTTCCATCGCCACCACGAAGTTGGCCTCGCAGCTTCGAACAGTCAAGCGCCACGCGCAGTATTCGTTGCTCTGTACAACCATTTACCTCAAGGAGCCAGGGGGTGGTGGTTTCAGATATTTTTAGTTTTTGTCTTTACTTGGGATGATTGATCCCACTCAAAATTATTTTTCAAGTGGATTGAAACCACCAACGGACGAGCCTCGAAGGGGCAAAACAGCAGTAGCATTTCGGGGGACTGCGTGACGCGATGCGAGTCTCGAACACTTCCATGGGTCTTCATATGCAAACTGACCGACCCTCCCGGGCCCCTCCGGTGTAGAGCTGAATCGATTCTTCAACCACCACTGGCAGTTTCCATGTTTGTTCGCAGGAGAGGGCCACGATCAGACTCCGACATAGGTGCCACGATCAGAAGACATGTAGTGGCCAACTGGGAGTTTGGCCGATGTGGAAACTCCGGATAAGATGCCATTGGTTTACCCTTCTTGCAAGAGCATAGGAACTAAAATCAGCAAGGCAATCTCTCTGAATTTCTGGCGCCTTGAATCCTAGAGAGCTGTTTGGTAAGCCTGCAGTTGCCAGAAGGACTCCCTTTAGTCCCTTCCCAAACCAACTCTTCCAAAAGCATCCCAACAAACCATCGCCTCCTTTTCTCGTCGCATCAGGAGTGGCGATGGCGCTCCCGGTCGCTGTGGTCACCGGTGCGAACTCCGGCCTGGGCCTGGCCCTGTCCGTGAAGCTGGCAAAGAGCCACCTGGTGTTGGCGGGCATGAGGAACTTGACGAAGAAGGATCCTTCATGCGAAGAACACCGAAGGCGAAGGCGAAGGGAACTTGACGCCCAAGTGAAGAGTCCAGTTTCGGCAGGTTTCTCGAAATCCATTTCGGCAGGTCCAGGACATGTGGTTCCAATTTAACAGCTTCGTTCTGATTCAGATGGCCAAGCTGTGGCATGTTGGGAACCCAGCAAGTTCCTACCAGTCCCCGGATATATAGCCTGCTTTCACCTCTTTTGGGAGATGGGTCTCTCCACGAAAAAATCCAACAGGCGGAAGGGGGGTCGCAACCTTTCTTTTACAGAGAAACGGCTCGGGAGTCGCTTGTAATCCAAGAAAAACTTGAGTGTGGAAGAGGACTCCACGTCGGGCAAGTCTTTCAGCGGAGGAAAAACAACGAGGGCCTAGCGGGCAAGTCGTGTCTGTAACGTACAAAAACAAAGACCTGGGCTGGTGAACACCGGTGATAGAGTGCCCGACTCATCGTATTCATGATTGCACTCAACCAATCTGCTGTGACCTGTGAATAGTATCGTCTATATAGTAGGATTTTTTACATGCATCTTCCATGACCCCGTCGTTGGTGTTTCTTTTTTCATCATATCGACTTTTATGATACGTGGCAATGAGTTAACTCCGAGAGCCAGCGGGATGACACGCTGCTTCAGCGGGGGAACCCCTGTTTTAGCTCACCTTGACATGACGCATGGTCAAATTCGCAAGCCTTTTGGGGTTTGATTGGCAATAACATCATCTTTTGAACATGAAGCTTACACTTTTCATCTCCAGAAAGGTGTCCGCGGTAATTTGATAATGTGATCATCTCCAAAGACTTCATCGCCAAACAGGAATTGCATCCATCTTCATCCCACACAACAAACTAACACCTTGTTTCTCATAGTTCGTCCCATTGTTCCTCCACCTTCCGCAGCCTTTCTCATGGAAGCTCTTCCAGGACCAGTTGCTGGAAGCGGCGGCCGCCGCGTCGGTGGCGGCCAATGTGAAGCCGGTGGAGCTGGACGTGAACGTCGATGCATCGGTGGAGGGAAGCTTGGCGCCCGCCTTGAAGGATCTTTGGGGGGGGGCTGGGAGGGGCAAAAGGAGTTTCAAGAGATCTCTGGATAGTTCATTTGGTACCAATGCAGGGATCCCAGGGGCGATGCCTGAGCAAAAGGCTTGGAATGAGTTGGAGTCTTAGACCTACCTTCAAGAGGGTGAACGAAGTCAAAGAGAGTGGAAACAACATGAAACAACTGCATTGAAATGCAGTAGAAAGCCTCTCCAGACACTTGGGAAGTGGGAACTTTGATTTCAGAATGGTTGGAAGAAAGCACTGCTTTAAGTAGCTGGCTCAATTGTTGGGCGTGCCCTCGAGATTGAGAACGACCTGGGCGTTTGGAACCTTGGTTTGGGATGGGAATGCTTCTATTTAATTTTTGCCACTTCCAAATCACAGGAGATGCCACCGGATGGCCAGATCGCTAGCATGAGGCACTTCGAGGCACTTTCGCTAGTGTGCTTCTTCTTATGGGACCACCATCGGAATTCCCCGAACCTGGGGAGATGGCCCAATTCTCCGCCATATCCCAGATGGATGTACCACTATATAGAATATATAGGGTACCAGTTTAGGTCTCGCAACCTTTACTTGGAAGTACTGAAGAAACAATTTGATCATGACTAGCTGAGCCTGTTGTCAAGAAGAACACTGAAGAACTCAGCCTCCCCAACTCAACCGACCGTGTCAACACCGCGTGGGTCATCTCAGACGGCGGGGCAGCGTTTTTTTCTGGAAGAACATACATATAATACATATATATATATATTATAAGATACACCATATTATACCCATAAATAAATACTTGGGGCGAAAACAAGACCAAGAAAGTATTGCAAGAGAACACCTAAGTAAGATACTCTCAGCACTTCTATGAAAAGAAGACCAACCTGCCGGACGTGAACGCTTCGGCAGGAGGCTGGGCGAGTGGATGTCTTGGTGAACAATGCTGGCTATAGCCAGGCAGGCAGCGTGGAGTTTCTGTCCATGGACGCGGTGAAGGCGCGAAGCATGAAACACATGGGCCAGATGTGAGCATTGAAAAGCCTACTCTTGTGTCTGAAAGGGCGATCAACTTTCCTTGGACCCATAGAGTAACCCAGAAGAGGACCCTGCGCATCAAGAATTCACCACCATTTACCATTACGGTCACGCAGAAGTTCGTCACGTCACGAACATGGCGCTCGCTCTGCGCCCCCGGGCTTTTGCACAGGGCGACCGATCCGATGTGATGGGATTCCTGAGAAAATGACAGGTGTCTATATAAAAGTACAGTGGATAGAGTAATGGCATAAACCCCCCCTAAAGGTGGTTTCTATGGACCTCCATATAAAAGACGTCCTCGGGTTTGGTGCCATCTACTCTGAAACCACTACATGTATAGATGTGTATGTTGGATCTACATATGCAGTCGATATGTCTCCTTAGAGGGGCTGATCAGGAGTTGAAGTGAAGGGGCTTTTGCCACAGGAATCAAGCCATCGCTGCTGTATGGACCTTGAAAGAGTTTCCAGCAAATCTTGAAGTCCAGTCTTCGAAAGAGATGTGGCCCGCTGGGGTCGCGGTCCAATCAAAGCAAGCTGAGAAATATGATACGGTCATAGAAATGGGTGACAAGAAAGTCAGATGAACCCTCTCAAAGCCAGCATCAATCAGGATTTAGGGTGGCAATTCGATGTCTCAAATCACGGTGCCCATCCACCTCGCTGAGGCGCAGTTCGAAACGAACCTCTTCGGTGTGATCCGGTGTCAGAAAGCAGTGCTGCCCTATATGCGAGAACAGAAGAGTGGGAAGATCATCAACATCTCCTCAGTGGGAGGTATTTGGGGCCTCTTGGCTGTACATGTTCTTACTGAGAGATGTGGGCCTCATGTACAGCCAAAAAGAGGCCAATGTCCCAAATGCCCTTTGTACACCACAAAAAAGAGGCTTCTTAACATGCAAACAAACGCACTGTAAACCAACACATGCAAAACACATGGCTGTACATGGAGCTCGCCACGGAGCTCGCGACTCTTCGACCGTCGATTGATGAAGAAGAACACTACCGTGGAAGAGTGATGTGAAGGGCGAAACCGTTGAACTTGCCGTTCCCTTCACCCATCTGCCATGTTCAACTATCAACTTGCATTCCAGATCCTGCAGGTTTGGAAACAAGATTAGCTAGTCTGTCACCTTTCTCAATGCCAGTTCTTAAGTTCCAAGCGCAGTTGTTATCAATGTTGTTGCATGTCCATGCTCCATGTTAAGTGCTAGGAGATGCTCCCACTCCGGCCAATTTTTAACGGCCTTGTGGCCTTCGGGGGCCTTGGGGCCTTGTGACCAGCCAGGTCAACCCTTCAATGACGTGTACTGTGCCTCCAAGTTTGCCTTGGAAGGGATGGTCGAAAGCCAGGCCCGGGTATTTGCGTGGGCCTCCTCCGTAAAACGGTGCGCAGTTGGCTTCTGGGCATGCATCATTCCCAAGACCGATAGCCGCCCAGGAAGCCCTTGGTTGATTGGTTAATAGAGGGGAGACCTGGTTGTGTACAACCAAGAGGTAACTGGTATGAAACCGATCCCTCTATTATTCCCAACAGGACATCCTTCTTTGGTGGGATCTCCTGAAAAGACATAGGGCAGTGGATGAATTGGCTGATTTTGGTGCCTGGGGCGCATGACTTTTCCGGGGGAGATTTCAGATCCGTGCCCCGCACTCTTAGGCGCCTGTTTTCAAGACCTTCGGCGTCTATTGCTCCTGTCACTGGGTCTGAGATGGTCTGAGAGTTGGGGAGCGCATCTCGATGCCAACGTTGGGAAGCATCGCCGAGCCTTGCTGGACATGGTTTTTTTCCATGTCCAGAGGTACTTTCTTTTGGAACTTTTTTCTTTTGAAATAGGAAGTCACGAAAGGTAGCTTCAGCTACCTGAGTTCAATTAGCTTTAGCTACAGGGCAGGATCCTTCACCCCCTCCCACTCAAGTCAATGACGACACAGGGATGACCGGTATGAAGTTGCCTCCGTTGCGAAGAGGATTGGTTATGGTCGACCGGCCATTCCGGCCGCAGGCGGGCATTGGGCCAGGTCATGTTGTAACCGATTCACGCACTACCTACCCAGTCAGTGGATAACCTTTATACTATGTAATATAATATTTACACATATATATATATATATGTGCATATATTCACATATTTGCAACCCTTTTCCGGGGGATGGTTTACTTGGTTTCCCTACTGAAACAGAACCGGTGGAGTTCGTTCGGTGAAAACCGCTCAAACTCACGGAGGTCGCTCATCTCCAGCTTCCGACCTCGGTCTCGGCGCTTTCATTGCCATCTCGTGGGGAACGGGAACATCAAGGGGTGTCCCCAGTGGGGATGGTCGCACCTGTGACACTTGGGATGTTCCAACTGAATCGAGTCATACCAACTGAACAAAAAGCCTCAGCAATTCTTGGCCTTGCTGAACATGGGGAAGCTTTTTTCCACTTTTGTGCGGTGCGAAGCATGGCACGTTCTCCCTTCAAGCGACCCCAGCTCGTGTTCTTGGCATCTGACGGTGTTCTCCACCTGTTCGTCTTTTTTCCGTGTGCAGGTGTAGAGCCGGGCGCCATCAAGTCAGCCTTCTGGAGCAATGCGCAGGTGCCGGAGTTTGCTTCGCGCCGCGGCTTGGAAAACCGGGGAAACGGGAGGTGAGCCGCGCGTTCATTCTATTTTGGATGTGCTGTTTGTTTGGAATGGAGTCTCATGTTCCAGGATTAAGCATAATGAAGCTGCATCGCCGTAACACACCACAAGAGTGGGTTTTGGCCTCAAAACAGTCCATGAGCCGCAGAGGTTTTCCATTGCAAGCTGAAGCTTTCCTAGATCGTCTTCTGTGGGAGGTTTTCCATCTTACCTTCTGAAAGGTCAAAGCTTTGAAGTCGCACCCAGGATGCCGGCGGAGTATCAGAAGCCTTTGCAGTCAACCATGGCGGCCTATGGAGCCTTGGCGAAAGTGGAGCAGACCTGATCAGCACTGCTCTCTTCAACGAATTGGGTCATATAGTTATATAATGTTATATACTAGACATTACTAGACAAGAAGAACAGCTGGCAATGGGTTTGCCCGTCAGTACTTGGCTTTGTGAAGGCAACCTGCTTGGTTCAGACATCTCCACTCGCTGGCACCGTGTGGCACCTGGCCCAGGCAAGTCGGGTGCAGCTGGACAGACCCCTGAGGAGGTGGCCGACATCATCATTGAGAAGATCGTCCAGGTCGGTGAGCCACCAGTACGCCTGCAGACCAACCCGCACCTTGGCGACGAACGGCAACACAAGGATGCTAGGGCAGGAACAAAGGCCATCGCGACTCGAACGGAGCAAGGACGCTTCTAGGTAGCAAGAAGCTACTCGTAACAAAGGGCATGTTTTGTATTTTTCCCATACAGTTTATTATTGGGGTTCTCTCATCTCTTAGAAAAAGCAATGGCCACAGTACTAGAGGGGATACCCTCAAGTGTGTACAACCAATAAGTTTATGGTCCCTGACACGTGGCACCTCTTCCCACCACGTTCTGGACAGTCACCAGCTGACCAACGGAGTCACCACCTCCCTTGAGCCCGCCACCACCTCGGGGTCCGGCTCGCGGCTGAGGGCGATCCAGAAAGTCTTTGAACAGCAGCTGGGACAGAATCTCTCGGGCTCCGCTGGGCTTCAGATGTCCACGACGCGCTTTCTGAGTGATTTGTGAGGAATGGCAAGTCATGCAGGGCAGTGGGTGCTTGACTCTTGGCCTGGCCAGCATTCGGAAACCAGTTGCACTTGTAGAAAGGACACAGCTTGACTGAATTATTCCCCATGGAGAATGTACCCGGCCCCCACACAGGGCCCTGCGACTTCGCCTGCGACCGCTTTACTGCGACGACCAGTCCGGAGAAAAAGAGACGGCGCTTGTGCCCTCCATGGGCGCCTCCTCTCCGTGGGCGCTTGGACCATGTGCCTTTCTTCGTTGGGGATGTTGCCATGCTGCCATGCGCATGGAAATATCAGCTCTGGCTCATTCCTACCCGCGCACTTGCCTGCTCAAGTCACTCATGCCAGGGATCTATGGAGCGAAAACAGGACGCCTTTGCCAATGTTGGAACACCACGGCCATTGAGAGGTGACCGAGAGACACCACAAGAGACACCACCAGAGCGGCAGGGCTGTCCGGACATTGAAAAACCCTTCGTGAGTCTTTGGGGGGGTTGTCAAGGAGAGGAGGCTCTTTTTGTTCTCAGTGAATGGAAACAGTGAACGATTCTTGCACATGACGCCCACGTGTCTTTGAAAGGAGCCTCCAAAAGATACAAAACTCCCTACAGTTAGTGAGACAGGCACATGGGGCTAAGATAAATGACATGAGGAGCCTCAAGCTGTCCTGACTTCTGCTCCAGCTGTTTGACGATGGGCAGTGCTTGTGGCACAAACGTGAACCACGACAGGACAGCAATGGAAAGTGTACAACTTTTTGTTTCCAGAGTCAAAACAAGCACAGTTTACAGCAACTTGATGCAACTTGTGACATATGGATATTTGATGATATTTGCATCTATGATGGTTGATACACAACATCCTGGACCTCATGGAACATTGGAGGTTATTCATGATTTCATTTTTGCAGTGGAGTGGATTCATTATATTTTCTCTACCCCAACTTGGGCAGAATAGCTGAACATCATCTTGACGTATCTAGAAGTTGGTGGGTAAGTGGCCATCAGCTGTTTCAGAGAGGTGAATCCTTGTTTCAGTTTGCTTGAGAGATCGATCTCTTTTTTGCCAGGAATCTGCACCATGCGGCTCGAAACGACGAAGTGCTGGTCGCAAAGGCACCTGTCGGAACCTGCCGGAACCACGTGACCCGATGTCCAATCTGCTCAGCGTTTTGGCGCCCCCAGGCCATGGGGTGGTTGGTGGACACCCCTCAATCTCTAAGGGGCTATTATGAGACATCCCGAAACCAGGGCCCTGGTCAAGAACAGAACATCGGAAGACTCAGTTGCTGAACACATTTCTGCGCATGTGACAGACTGAAGAGTCCGGGTTTCTGCGGTGGCTCGTTTTGTTCGAGGCTTCTTGACGCATCCTGAAAACGCCGAAGCTTCGACTTCTTAATTGAATTCCTCGGTCTTGCTGATTCTTGCTTTCCCGAACTGGGGAGTATTATCTTTTTACCGAGTTCCTTAAGACACTCCCAGATTCCCATATCCTTTCTCCTCTGGTCCATGGGTTTTCGTCCGGAGAGAGCCTTCCAGGGGATTCTCAGCAAGAGCAGAAAGAGCTTGCATAACAAGGCCAGTTGAAAGGGCTGGGTGTGGGACCCTTGTGCACACAACCTTCTGCAACGACCTCGACGCGCATGTTGTGGGGTGAAGATCACCTTAGGTTCCACAGATGTACGATGATTGCAGGCTCATTTTGTCAACCTCTTAAAGTATGTCCTTATTGAATAGATGCTGTACAGCTAAACCCACACCACTTATTAACTTATTCCCTTCTACTCCAGGCAAGGGCTCTATTTGTTTAGTTTCTATTCAGCGAATCCTTCCTTCGCAAAGCCTCCATCCATGTCGAAGGACAAGCTGGGCCAACACACACCCTTGCACACTGCTGCTTACGAAGGCCCGGCATAAAGGGCTGTGATGAGGTGCGAACCCCAAATTACTTAAAACATGAAGAGAAGACTATGTTCACTGAAGAATGACAACCGGGGAGATTAACTGTGTTGCCTGAAGTGGGTTTAGTGGCAATTCAACATTGCCTGGTACAGCATATTCACGCTTTGCATGGTTTTGGGTCTTTGTGGTTTGACACGCAGACGAATTTGGTCTGAGAGGAGCTGAGCGCGGGGGGCAGAGCAGAGAACGAACCGTAGCACAGGCATGGTGTGTTGTAGAGGTATTGTTTGTATCTACCTAATTAGAACCTATCTGACCACTTGTCAACATGGAGATGTTTCTAAGCTTGTTCCGCATGCAGCATGTTGTCCATGTTCCTGTCCGGTGTTGTTCGTCAAATCATCAGCATTGGTCCTTGACCTGCAGAACTGCAAAAGCAACGCCGAGAGATCTTTTGTGCTGAATAGGTTGGCTTCCACCGAAGTGCCAAGCGAGCCGCCAGCTTTTTCTTATGGATAGGTTCTCCTCCTGTTGGAAGAAACATACAGACCTGGAACATCTCGAGCATTGACAATGATGAGGCATTCGGTATTCCTTGCTCTATTTTCAGTAGACGTTGCAAGCCAGTTGTTAGCAAAAGGCCTGGATTTAGCTCAAAACATGCTACTCACACACCCACAGGTTGATTTTTCACTGGGTTGCAACGCAGCTTCGCAGGCGGAGTGTCCGTGGCGCAATTGTTGGTGGACTCGAAGGCCCCTTTCGAGCGGCGTCGCAAAAATGAATGGAGTGTTTGTCGAAGCCTCTGGTCACTCCGTCAGGTGTCACTCCTATGACCTGTCACGTCCTGTCACTCCGTCCCTGTTTCTCCACCTTTTGGTCTTTTGGGTTTTGTATTCATCTTTGACGAGGTTTTTTGTAAGAGCCTGGGCACCTGGCCTTTGAGGACCTTACGACATTATGTATTTGCCCTCAGTTCAACATGGCGTACTTGCTGGAAGAGGAAGAGGGAAAAACATACGTATTTCAATGCTGGCAACACAGGGACAACTGGGGTAGCTAATCACCCTACCATGGATCTGGATGCCTTGTTTTGTTGGCAAGTGGCATATCAAAGCACCGAATTCAGCAGTGGTGATTGGCCCAAGAGACAAGGCCACAAGCTGAAGGACCGGAGCGACCCAGTTGGGTTGTGGAATTGGCTCACTCTATGGATCTCTTGAGCTATTATACCAGCAAATTCATTTCACTCGTAGCATCCATGAAGCCTTCCATTCGTCCCAGGTCAACCTCCCCACCCCTCTGTCGGTGAGGAGGTTTACCACGCCGGTGAGGCACAGCTTGGCGCGGCGGACGAGCACCATGACACCCCGCTGCACTTAGCTTCGCTAGAGCCTCAGATCCGGGATTCGGGGGTGACATTGAAGACTGCAGGTCTGGCCTCAGACCTCTTCGTGAACCCAACTGAGTCTCTTGAGATTCTCCCAAGAGTCCATTCTTGCGTTTTGGTGCAATTTCACTGCAACCGCCAGGTACACGGGACAAGCGGCGCAGGTGCGGATCTTGCAGATCTTGCTGAACCAGAGGACTGCGGGCTGAGACGCGGAGAGAACTGAGGTCGGTGTGGAGGAGATTTGAACTCTTCGAAGTCTTTATACTGAGGCCATGAGAACTCAGTTGGCTTTCGTTGGCCTTTTTCTGAAGTAATTCTGTCAAGATTGCCAATCGGCCTATTCCAGACCTGGCAGATTTTTTAGGACACACATAAGGGGTTACAAGACACAAGTGTAGCACCTGGGATAAGGCAATTTGCAACTGTAGATACCCAACGGCCGTTGAAAAAAGGCTCTTTGAAGAACCTTTGTCGGACTGCCAATGAGAAAGATCCTCTCTTTTTGAAAGTCGACCGGAAGGCCAAGCTGAGGTGACTATATACTGTAGTTATGCATGTGTACAGGATCGATTCCACACCGTGAGGCCATTTTAGTTGATGATTTTTGAAGATTGAAGGCTGTAAGACCTTTGTTAAAGAGACGCACCGCCAGGGCTGCGCCAGATACCAGGGGGGCCTGGGAGAAGACGGTGGCCTGGCGGTTTTGGACGATCGTTTCGGGTGTGACTTGCTGGGGCTCATTGAGGGTGAACCTACTTGTGAACGACCCATCTGGTTGACGATAACAATGGGCATGCCCTTGCTTTTAGCACAGGGGGCGGTTGGATGGTTTCAGAATGTCAATAAATGGTGTTTCGTGTTCCCTTGCAATTTTGAGTTGAGCTTGGATGCCATGTCCCCTTGAGCATGTGGGGCAAAGATGGAGATGTGAAGCAAAGAGGTGTGGATTCCTTGCCCGCAGCGGTGTGAGGAGTTGAGGAGTCAGCCTGATCTGAGACTGAGACATCCTAGCCTAACTCTCCGTTTTCATACACACTCTGTAGCCCCTCAAGATCGAGTTGAAGGCACTCAACTTGTTCCTGAGTGCATCGGGATCACCGGGTTTGGAGCGGATTCCGGAATCAAAAGAGGACGTCCCAAGCATATCCCAAGAGTGAATTATCAGAGCTCGTTCTTCAGGCTTCAGTTTGCGACTGACCCTGTGGAAACACGCCAACATTAGGTCGACATGGACATGGACCAATGTTTGAAGTTTCTTCATTTTCCAAGAGGAACAAGAAGCTACTAGGGGCTCCTGGCCTTACTACTAGGTAGCAAGGTTCGCTACCAACAAGGCTTTGTCCGTTTTGCCACCAATCTCGTTCCACTCCTTCGCGAAGCGAGTGCCGAGGCCCTCCACCTGGCTGCTCGCAGGGGTCAAGCCGAGGCTCAACGACACCGGTGGTGAGGTGGAGTGGAGCCACAGCCTTGCTGCCTTGCTCAAGGGGAATGGAGGGTAAGTACAGGGGGTTTAAAAGCCCTGGTCCGTCTTCTTGAGCGACTTATTTTTCCGATGTTTTGGTGAACACCTCATTCTTAGAGACCCATGATGGGTGATCTTCCTTGGATCGGTTCTCGCGACTCCGGTTTGGCGCATGTCCCCACCGGAGCATGGGACCCCCAAACGCCCACGCGTGAGCCATTGATCGAGTCCAAACGCCAAAGAACGGTTTTGGGTTTGGGGCAGTGACGCCCCCGGAATCACCTCTTGTCAGGACACCGATTTTTCGACACCGTTTGTTTGACACGGGGGCCCTGGAAGAAAAGATTTAGATGCGCTCTCTCCTGTGGGTCATGGCCGACCCAAGAAACACCCAGGGCGGTCAAGAATTTCTTCGCTTCCACGTTTGGGGTCAAAGCTTGAGGAGTCGATGGAAGCTTTAAATCAGGTCTTTGGGAGTCGAATCTGAGCGGAAATGGATGGACATGGCCTGACATGGTCTGATCGACGATTGATGAATCAAACCTAACATCTGAAGATGTACACCCATTCTGGTAGAGGTGTTTCATTCAGTCGACATTACGGCATGAATCAATGCGAAGACGAGAATGGACTCTCTCATCTTCACCCGCGACTGGGCGGTGACCGCACTGTCACATATTGTCACAAGGATGAGTCAGTATGCCAATCTTCCCAATGAATTCACGAGTTCCCAGCACGCGAGACAGACCTCGATCATCCTCAGGTCCAATGGGCTGGGTTTCTTTCTTGAAACAGTTTGCATATTTGTGGCAGCTTGGTTTCCAAAGGTCAGTCAAACTGGTTTTGGGACCTGGTCGACCGGATCCGAATCATCCACTGTGATAACATACCCACACTGACCGTCCCGTCTCTCCACCGCCCCCAGGCAGTGCAATTGTTGCTGGGACAAGGCGGGAGACGCCATGGGACAAACCGTCTGAAAGAGAAGAACTCCCGTGTCCAGAAAAACCCTCTTTGAGGCAAAACCACAAACATCCGAATTGTTGAGGGGTGAAGCATCCACTTGATTACACCGAGGGGTGAAGCATCCACTTGATTACACCTGCAAGGCAAGTTGTTTTGTATTTCTTCCTTGGCAACCCGTGGCCTCAAGTTCTGAACAACGCGAACGAGGAACCACCGCGAAGCCGTCTCGGGTGTGTCGCAGTTTACCGGTCACTTGAGCGGAGCCAATGCTCCGTCGTGCTGCTTGGTGAGCCTTGCGCAAACGGAACCAAGCTGCAACCAAACGGGCCCCATCCGCTTTTTCCACAGGTCGTGGGAGATGCCCAACTGGACCGTCCTTCTCGGTTCATCCTCAGCTCGACTCGCTCTACAGTCTTTCCTTTTTGCACGGAGATGACTTGGAGACTCAACGCAGCCAGGTGCTCAGCTGAGCATGGCCGACAAGGACTGACATCGCAGCCAGGTGGAGTTTTTCTGGCTTGGTGCGGGGACGGTCAAAAGGAGCAATCCTATGAATCAATCATAGTCATAATCAATTGATGAATCAATCCAGTGCCATCACCAAGGTGGACACCGCCTTTCTGACAGGTACGACCGCGATCTACATGTGAGTCTATCCCATGCGGTCTTTGGGTGAAATGTATATAGATGATACACTCGAATCAACGCTTCTCATTTTACGCTCCAAGTGTTGGACAAAAAAGGGAAGGACCTGTCGGCGTTCCGACCTGATTACGCTTTGGACAAATGGTCTCCGCGTCAGACCTGCACTCAGCCGTCAGGCCTGGGGGTCTCAGTATACAAAAGACATCAAAAGACGCACCCATGTAGCTTCTTGTTCCTAGTAGTAAGGCCAGGAGCCCCTAGTAGCATGTCCAATCTTTCTCGAAACCCTTCCCGCCCCACCCGTCGGTTGGGAAAGCCCGACCTGCACCACGCTGGTTTCGCTGGTTTTGCGAAGGGTCCGGTGATGTCGCTCGTGATGTTGGGGGAAGCGAAGGGGCATCTCCAACAAGCAGATGGGTTATTTGGACATGTTTTTGAGGGGGCGTTTGGTTGGGATTCTGATTGGTCTGGTGGGTCTCTAAGCGAGCTTGTAGAGCTGTTCTGGTTGTGATGATGTGGGGTTTCTGGGAATCCAGAATGTTAAAAAAGAGGTTTCATGTTGGGTTGTTTTCGAGGATGTTGTATCAGATGTGGTTTGAAGTTTTTGGGCGGGCAAAACCACTTGTGTTGAAGGCAAAGCATGGCAGGCATAGTATTTTTTTGTTGAACAAGTATGGACGGCGATTTGAGTCAGAGGACTTCCTAAATCAGAAGGCTTGGACGTGGCGTGTTTCTGTAAGTTTTGGGAGGCAGCAAATGGCCAGGAGATCATGGCAATAGGTCTTGCTGGAGCTTTTTGGCGAAAAAGAGCAGTTCGTGAATCCCGTCGGCTCAAGCTCACAAAGATGGGTCCTGAAAGTGCGTAAACAACAAAGGCTTGGAAGTTCACGTGTAATCTGGGTGGGGTTTTCAGTTATTCTGATTCTTATTTTCAACCTTTACTTGGGATGATCGAACCCACTGACTAATATTCTTCACGTGGGTTGAAACCACCAACCAGTGGTCTAATCAAGGGATTTACACTCTTCAAAACCAACATAGAAACTGGCCGAAGACTTCCTTCAGATGGTAGAGGAAGATCGTTTTACCTGGGGTGAGCATCGAACTCACGCAGTGCATTAGGTAGAAGGTAGAGGAAACTTGTATTCCCAACAATCAACCTCCGGTAGTTCGCCATGTTTGTTGCACTGGTACATGGATGTATATGGGGTTCCGGAAAGTCTGTGTTCTTTCTTGAATAAAGAACAACATACAGAGTTGTGACGTTGTGCCGGTTTAAGTCGCGTCTGAGGGTTGTAACAAGAGACTTCAGTCGGTCTGGGGCACTCAACAGCGGACATAGGCCTCCCTAGAGATCCTACAGCCGTCGTTCTAGCGGTTCTAGCATTGTCTCACAGATAGTATATATCTCAAAGAGGTTGAACTGTTGAACTTGTGGACCACGAGCAGAGCTTTGGTGTCTGCCATCCCTGTTGTCGGTGTTTGCCATGCCCATCCCTGCTTTGCCTTCAAACCTCGACGAAGAGCGAGACGAACCACTGAAGTCGATTGAGATAGGCACGCTGGTCCGAACAAGGGTTCTTGATGCAGGTGAGTCTCGAAATATCTCATCCCTTTTCCTTTAATAGGTTGTTTGTCTGGTTTCTTCTGCTCCAGCTTTCCAAAAAACACTTCCCTGGAGCTCTTTGAGCATCCAACTTGTCTTCTCATTTTGTCGCGTAGGCAGCGATTCCAATGAGCTGACTCAGCTGCAACAGCGCCTGGAAGCGGAGCTGGAGAAGCTCGCGGTGCGGCTGAGAACAGTGGAGGAACGCTTAGGTGTTGAGCCAGAGAAGCCGACGTCCGAGATGGCGGAGGATCAGCTTACCCCCGTGCCCGTTGAGGAGCGGGTGAATTGGTTGGTCCGTTGGTCCTTTTTGGGGGATCAACATATGAAGTGGCACAAATAGGAAAACCAATATGATCAAGCTTTTGAAGTGGCGAAAGATGATAGGATCTGTGCAGAACGCGCAGAAAAAAAAATAGCACAAGGAAAAGATGTCTTCTCTTCCAAAATTCTAAAGGGTTGAGAGCGCGCTCAAGTGCTTCCCTCCGGTTCGTGAGGAGAGCGCTTGGAGTATCCCTTTGGTGATCGGGCTTGACAACACCGGATGGCTGGATACCTTGGCGGCAGTGGTGCTGGTGATGGTGAACTTGGGGATGCAGTTGGCCTTTTCAGGCAGGAAAACCCGTATGGATGTTCCGGCCCTGTGGTGCTTGTGAACGGCGAATGTGTGGAGGTCCGATGGTTCTGGCGGTCGAAGGTCGGTGTTCTCGATCCTCCAGTGGTTGGTTTCGCATCCTAGCATGCACATCTTCACTTGGAGCTTCAATTTCACCAATTTGGGCCTTTGCAGACCCAATAAGAACAGATATGAACCGATGAACCTTGCTTAACTCGCCCCTTTCTTGGTGAGTCTCGAATGGTCTTGAGGCATCTTGCTCTCGGAGGAGTTTATGGGGGATGCCTTCGAAAGCCACCTCGAGTTTGCCAAGGCCAGAAGAGCCCAGTGTTTGTCGAACTTTTTGTCGAAGTGTTTCCGACCGATCGAATGGGGCGTGAGTGTTCTTCGTCAAAGTGGCCCTCTCACAGGGGATGTATAGACTCTAGACGTTCTCACAGATTGGTGGCTTGGTTGATGAGTTCTGGTTTGTCCGTTTTGTGGAACTTGGTCAGGTAATTACGAGTTTTGTTCATGGGATTGATGACACTCCTGGACCTATATCCAACGGGTCCAGGTACGTACTTCCAAACTCTCTATCCGCCAAACATCTTCAAAAATCCATACAGAACTCCCACAGCTACCCCTATACTCGAGCCAGGGTAGCCCCTATCCCAGGGGCCTAGGGAGCTAGCCTAGCGCTACCCATAGGCCTATCATAGGCCTATGCCTAGCCTCGGCATAGGCCTATCCTAGGCCTATGCCTAGCGCTATCCATAGGCCTATCCTATGCCTATGCCTAGCGCTATCCATAGGCCTATGCCTAGGCTAGCCATAGGCCTATCCTAGGCCTATGCCTAGCGCTATCCATAGGCCTATCCTAGGCCTATGCCTAGCCTAGGCATAGGCCTATCCTAGGCCTAGGGGTAGCGCATGGCCAGCCTAGGGGTAGCGCTAGGCATAGGCCTATCCCAGGCCTATGCCTAGCCTACCCCCAGGCCAATCCGCAGTCTTTCCTTACTCGCTGTCTTTTTTGTCACCCCTCTTTCCTGTCCTTTTCCTTCGTGCTCTCTCTCTCTCTATCACCTCTCTCAAGAAGGAGAGAGCGGGAGAGAGAGGAAACGGGAGAGAAGAAGAGGGAGACAAAAGGAGAGACCGGAAGTAAGCGGTAGGAAGGAAAAGGGAAAGCGAGGAAGAGCGAGGCAGAGGGAGCGAGGAAATGGAAGAGGGAGAGATGCCTCGTCCTTGCCCTCCGCCTCCCTCTCCCTCTCCCAGCGGATTCCTGCCTCTCCCTCCCCCGTCCATCCTCCTCTCCCTCCCGCCGCCTCTGTCTCCCGTCTGCGTCCCTCTTCCCTCCCTGTCCCTCGCTTCCTCTCCTTCGTTCTCGCTCCTTTTCCCTCCATCGCCCTGTTTCTCCTGCTGCGTTTCTGTTTCTTGTGCCTTCTCTCTGCCATTGCCGAAAGTTCGGCGAAGGAAATAAACCGCGCGAAAGGGGCGGAAATGGCCAAGCCGGCACTTTCGGGTGGGACCACTCCCTTCCATATATTCCTTTTCCTGCCTCTTTCTACCCCTCTCTTCCTCCCTCGCTTTCCGACCGCTGTCTCCCTCTCCTCCGTGTCCCTCCGTCGTCCCGTTGATCCGGCACCCTTTCTGTTTCTGGCGCCCTCACCCGACCGTGGCCGAAAGTCCGGCGAAGGAAGAACACCCCGCGAAAGTGCCGGAAATGGTAAAGCCGGCACTTTCGGGTGGCACCTTTCCCTTCCTCTTCTTCGTCCCTGTCTGTCCCCACCCCTTTCGCTTCCACCCCCCTCCCTCCTCCTCCTCCCTGTTTCGAGGAAGAGGGAGAGGGAGGGAGAGGGAGAGAGAGAGAGAGAGATGAAGGGAGAGGGACAGAGACGGAGAGAGAGGAAGCGGAGGGATAGACTGGGGTCTGTCCAGGGCCTCTGCCTAGCGCTGCCCATAGGTCTCCCTGTCCTAGGGCTATGCCTAGCCGACCCACAGGCCTAACTTGAGAAAACTTGGGCCAGACTAGTCCACTCTGCCAGCTGACAGGATGGTGGGCAAAATTCATGCCTTGCTACTTGTGAGCCAGTTCCCAAAGGTTTGTTTGCACTCATGGTCTCTGCGGATCCGTTTTTGTAAAGGAAGCATGTACTTGAACCGTGCATGTGAACATCGGCAGCGACACACAGCTTACAAAACATGCATGCCTCACAACTCTTCGACGCAACCGTACGTTTCGCAGGGCTTTGCTAAGAATGCCCCGGTTCCAACGTATTTGCCCTCAGCGGGGTGAAGGTCCGGTCTTTTTGTAATTTGCTAGCCATACCGACCCAGCAATACTTTGGACGAAAACAAAACATGTGTCCTGTTTTTGTTCTTCAGACCTATTGGTGGATACCCTGATTTTGACACGGAACAAGGTGACTACCACTTCATTTGATGCCAAGCTGTACGTAAAGCAGGTTTGGACTCCCACTTGCTGGTTGAGGGGGACATGCTTCGAGAACTCTTCTCGGAATAGGACTGCCAGAGACTTCGACGACTCGACTTCTGGGTTTTTCGGCTCCAGACATACCATGTTCAATGACACCTATCAGACCCTGAACAGGAAACCCATAGCTGATGTATGTAAGACAGATTGTCTCTAAGCCTGTCCCGAACACCCTCAACAAGAACGATTTTTTTTGCTCTGCCAGAGTCCTCCGAGCCCAGCAGAGCAGGAACCAGATGTTTCCCCTTCTTGCAGGTCTACCCCACTAACTATGTGACTCCCATGACCACCCCATTGAACTCTAAAGGGGCTGGTCAAGGCCAGAAATATGGACGAACGCAGTTTTTTTTTCTAAGTCGAGGTTCCCGGTACCTTTCCTGTGAGAGGTGCCACGTAGGCCATGGCCCCTGTCTGCGCCTGACCGCTGTGACAGTGCTTGCGGCTGGTGCCCTCCCGGCCCCTTGGTGAGCTTCGTGTGACAGAGTTGCCTGGATGGACGCGATGTGGACTCGGGGTCCGTGTTTCTGGGCGGGCCGTGGTCGCCCCCATGTGTTGGGGAGAAACTTTGTCGGAATGTTTGTGTCTGATCCTCTTTAGGGGCCGGTCCATGCCTTTTTGCTGTCTGAACTTGCGTCAGCCGCGCGGTGACGGGGAGACCAAACGACAGACGGACACAGACATGGTTGGGCTCTCGCAAGGCGTCTGCTTCGAACCGGCCATGGCCTCGACCTGGCGGCGGATGCCACGGTGGACATCGGTGCGCTGCTCCAACACCGAGCCCTTTGCCGCTGACGCTGTGCCTGCGCGCGCGTGCGCGTGCAGCCGTGTGACCGACCACCAGGGTAGTACTTTGCCACGCTGTGCCCCTGTAGACCTTTCCTTCAGGGGACTGTCGCACTTTTGGCGTCGACTTTTTTTGGTAGTGCTCCAGCCACTTCCCTCCAGACTGTGGCCTCGATGTGCTTTTTCGCCCGCACCGCACCACGGCGGGCTCAGGTCTGGGCTCGCGCGGTTGGTTGGTACGGGAGGACAAGAAGGGCAGATTCCACATGTGCGGCGCTCGCATCCGGGCCTGCCAAGGGAACTTGCGCTGTTTGGCGGGTGTGCCTCGGCAGTCTTTTTCGTTCGTTGAACTTTACCTGCAATTTCCCTTTCGTGGTCTTGGCGCATACACACAGCCAGGCCTTCTCTCTCTCTCTCTCTCTCTTTCCACCCACCGCATTCAGGTCTTGCAAGACAAGTTCGATTTGCAGCGGATCGCCGTGGCTTCGCAGCTCCGTGCCTGCACTCAGTCGACGCGCGTGTTTTGGAGAAGCTCGGCCCCCTCGAATTTCCAGTTCTTTTCGGTGACACGTGCGCTTCCCTGTCAGGCGTGCGCTACACCTCTGCCCGCTCCTGGCCTCGCATCCGGGCGGAGGGGGTCCGGCCAATGGACCGCATCCACTCCCACTGGTGCTCGGTCGACTCGGGCCCGCATCGAGGCCACCCGGCGTCGTCGGGTTGCGGGGCGGAGATACTTTTGGCCGCGTGGCTTTGCGTCCGGTTCGCTTGCGGACGGGGAGGGGGACCAACCATACTCCCAGCACTGCATATATTCCCAGGACTGACTCTCACACCTTCGTGTTCGTTCATGATCCACGTCCGAGTCCATGACTGCTGCATTTCGTTCCGCCGGTCTTTTGGCCAGGCACGGACGCGGTCACATATTTGGATGTGGAGCGCGTCCTGTCGGAGAGCACTCTCTCTGGCGTGCTGAGAACGGGGTCGTGTCGCGACTGCCACATCGGTCGCGCTCTTCCGGTCCGACATTTTCGTCGAGCTTTCCTCCGGGTACCCTGGGTGCTGGGGGAGATCCTCCATGGCCGAAATTTTTCACGTCCAGCCCAAAATCATTATCCAGCTAGGACGTTTCTTCGTGACAGTCTTCCATGGTGGTGTTGTCACCTAGTTGTTCGAGCATGGTCCTTCCCCATAACGGCAGCGACAAGACACTTCTTGAAATTGGTGTGAAGCTTCGGGAAAGAGAACTCCCAACCAGATCTCGACGCGGTTTTTCCCCAAACAGTTTACTGTTAGGGGTTCTCAATGCTTTAAAGAATGGTCGCCTTGGTGCTGGATGGTCTGGTCGGGTTCCCGGCTGGCTTGTCTCCCGTCCTTTCATTTGTCTCCCACTTCTTTTCATTTGTCTCCCAGGCTCAATGCTTGTGGTTCCCACTTCTTTTCATTTGTCTCCAAGTTCTTTTCATTTGTCTCCCAGGCTGGGTGCTTGTGGTCGGGTTCC